TGAGAAATGTCTGCGGGGAAAGTAAACTGCCCTGACTTGTTTTTGCTAGTTTTGATCAAATTAGATCGTTCACGGCGAATGATTGTCTTTTTGTTGAGCAGAAAGTTGGAAGAAGAGTTCATTTAAAAAATTGTCCAAATGATCACCTTAAGGATGGAGTTTCAAAAAATCATTTCTTAGCGGGTATCCATGTGCATAGGAATGCTCTGTGGAAATTTCAGGCCTTTAGATCCATCGGTTTGGTCTGTGCACTGTCTGTCAGTCAGTCACAGAACTATTTCATATATAGGGATGGAATTTCAACAAATCCTTTCTTAGCGGGTATCCACGACATTATAGGAATGCACTAACGGAATTGCAGCCCTTTAGATCCAGCGGTTTGGCCTGTAGTTTGTCAGTCAATCATGGAACAGTTATATATATATACACACACATGTGTAAGTAGTTAAGAAGTTAAATGAATCAAATCATATTTAACAATCATCAACAGTTTAAATTGATTTCCCTTATTATTTTGTTAATTTTTTTTTCTATAGATACCCACTTAAATTTTCGTTTTGCAGAAGGTCATTTAGGTGGAGAATAGTTTATTTAGCTATACAGTTGCTCTGTAATTTGGTGAATTTTGGCGAATATATTGTTTTATCATCGATAATTTGATTCTTCTGTAATGCATTTGTTCTGAAACAGTTTATCTTTTTCTTTGTATAATAATTTACCTTACTTTATTTAATAATAATTTACATGAATTTTATACATAGATTTGATATATGAATAATATAATCGAATAATGTATTTTGGTCACCGAATGCGAAAAACAAGTTAGTTTCGAACGTAGGATGTTTAGATTTTTGTTTTCTTTCAACCTTTTTGTAAATACATTAGAAGCAATGAAATCTTTTTGAAACTGTGACGTACACTGAAAATATCACGAGACCCTTACTAGAACTAACGTAAAAATCATATTATCAGAGGGATATATGTAAAACTTCATTGTCATCGGTGACAAGCTAAATAAACAAAACGTGGAAACTAAATTGACAAAAACATTGATAATCATACACAATCGCATTATAATCTCAAATTTTCCTTAGAAGACACAGTTATTTATTTTTCAAATACACCATGTTAAAAGCGATTGAAGTATTGGGAATATGCTGTTTAAAACTTTTTCGTAAAAATTTAAACAGTGGTGCCTATATCTGTAAGTATTTCATCACTTGAAAATCTCTTTTATCTTTTAATTTTTCATTATATTCGAATGTTAATTTTTTACTTTGTGTCTCGTGTTTCTGAGCCTTGTTTTATGTAAAGATATGGTATAAACAACCTTAATACACAACTCTTCTTTGTCCTTCCTTTAACAACAAATGAATGTGGTTTCACAAGACCTGTCGCTATTCTCAGGATGAAAGGAGACACGAGATTTGAGCGAAACAAAAGACCCTTGGGTTTTAGCGGAACGGATGTCTTGTATGTCAAACACGCGAAAACTACCCCTTAGCAAAAATATCTCTTGTGTATTTTCCATGTTGTTATTTGATTTTAATAAAATATAACTTTACTCTTTACTAAAATTAGTCAAAGTTATTATAGTTCTGTAATTGTAATTGTTTTTGTTAATGTTTTGTACAAATTTATTCGTGATGAAATTTGATTAACCTTGACCCCCGCATGATTGTATTGTTCCCAAACGAAACGTCTCTGTATGTTTAAGCACAGGACACTTTAATTTATATTGTAAGTGGATAAGTATCTAAGTTGCGTGTGTGTCCCCCTCCGTTGGCCGAACGTGCCCACAACCGTAAAGGACAGTTGAACCGTATCAACTTGTATATTCACCTAAGCTCTTTATTGTCTCGAATACGTGCAGATCAATGATTGATCACTGTTGGCCAGGATGGGCTTCGTGAAGGAGGAACAATCATAAAGCCTTTCTGTTTAAATAATACTTGAACAAAAAATATATAAGGGTAGCTAAAAAATCGATAATTTTTAACAAAAACGTTTTATAATTCATAATGCATCAGTCATTTTTGCCTTTTACTGTGTGGAATCATTTTCTAACTGAAATGCTTCGGTTCAAGTATTTTATTAATTTGCCTTGATGAAATGATGATGAAATATGAAAATTTGGTAATATTGATGTTTGAAAATAATAAACTCAATGAGTGCACAGTGAAAAGTTAATTGGAAAAGTAATCATAGAAACTACTAGTAGTACCATAAACATAGCATTGAATTTGGACTAAAAACAATGCATTTTAAATCCTTCTGAATTATAAATATAGAATACATTCTTAGTATGCAGAATTTATTTTGATTTACATGTCAAAACGACCTAGAACATGAACAAGGCATATCCAAAATAGTATGTCAGTAATGAAAAAAGAAGCTCATATATAAACACATCGATTAACTTTACATGAAACCTTCCATATTGATTTTATGATGCTAGCGTAATTAACTTGGTGATCACGAGTATATGCTATACACAGGGTCAAAGAGTTTCATTTGTTTTTTGCCCCCAAAAATATTTTTTCTACTATGTTTTTACAAATATCTCACAAACTATTAACTTAAAAAAATTGAATTTCCTGTGAAACTTTTTAGCTTTATATATGGTGCGATACTTTTTGAACAATGGCAAAAAGGAGGGAAAATTCAAAAGGTGGGGTTGAGATGGGAAGTTAGTGCCCGAGGTGATCGAAGTCACGATAGCTCAAGTGGTAGAGTAGCGGCGTATCAAGCCGAAGGTCGTGGGTTCGAATCCCGCTCGTGACATTGACTTTTTTATCTCAACTTAAAACCTTAATTAATTGAATGTTATTAATTGATCAAGCGGACCACGAAAAATAGTGAAGTTAAAACTATTGTGAGACTTCCTCTTGAGGCCTCACATTTTGTCGTTTCCGATCATTTTAATCTGTCTATCCTCGCTGTTTGGTCGATCAGACACGTTTTGGCTTCTCGCCATCTTCAGTGTTGTGTGTTGTCTCATCCAATATTTATCCATGAACAACAAAAAGTATGACCGAATTTACAAATACAATGGCTCAGAAATTTATCATTTTCCCTTAGAGCTGGGCAGATAGGTTGGTCAGTTGGTCAGAGATGTAAACATTGTGAGGTACCAACACTAAGTCCGTCTATTCACGGATCTACTCAAAATAAACTGTACAGCTATGTGATTGGGATCACTAACCACGTACTAACTCATTAGTGACGCCGATCCACACACGATGCTACTCAAAATCGAAATCAGTAATTCTTTCGTAGGGCCTTTACGAGTTGGTGAGTTGGTTCATAACAATCCGTGATGGTTCCAGGGATGATTCATGCAGCGACGATGTCAACTGTATTTTCATCGGTACTGAAGAAAGGATTCGAGGAATATTTTGCGTTCCTCCGTTTACATTAAGGCTGAATTTCAATAATTCATCCATAATGCAATTTACAAAGTTGAAAAAATGAATTTTTATATGGACCAAACCAACTTAAAATGGATTCTTTTAAGGATTTCTAGATCTGAGCTGAGATAAACGGTCCTAAACAATCCATTTTTAGAAACATAATCATATGTTTCTTAGACAATAAAATTCAATAAGATGTAAATGAGTTGAGTTTCTTAGACAATAAAATTTACAAGTATATTATATTATAAAAACTGTTTAGATTGAGGAAAGAAACAATGGTTTATTTAAGAAAATCTTGCATTAATGTGTCATTTAGACTAAAAACTTTGGTCCTCCGGGCCGGATCGGGTATATACTATGTTCATTTTTGCAAACGTCTCAGAAATTTTTAATGTTTTAAGAAAAGGTGTTGCTTTGATGAAAGAGAGCGCAGTTAGAACAGAAGACCAGCGATTAAAATATTGATAAACAATAATAATATAGTAATATGAATTGTACTAAAATTAATTAATTTTTCTAAATATGAAAACTATGGTTTACAATAATAAAAGGGCTTTTTGTTGTGATCAGGGATAATATCAACGCGTAGAACAGGTTATGTGCTCGTATTATGTATTTAGATTGGCTAAGGAGGATCAAAGGCTTGAAAATGTAATCTAAACGGATAAACCTTAGTTAAACCTAGTAACAAAACCTTATAGATCGTTCTAACAATGAAAACATGGATTTTCCCGCTAGTAAGAGATTCACTGTATTGAGTCGTGAAGATATTTCCAGTTCCAATAGGCTGAGTCTTGCCCACTATTTAACATTCGAAAATCGATAGTTCGTTAGGCCGGATATTAGAAAACAGAGAAGGAATGTATGTCATCCCAACGCGATCGTAAATCTGCTTGAGAGATTAGTCCCAGCGGCTCCGTCAGGGAAACTAGGAACCGTCCGTTTTTACGCGGGTGTATAATAGAAAAGACATTACCCCTCGGCTGAGAGTATTAAATTTAATCTAACTTATCTTCCCAAAGGACTACGCTTTTCCCCATTTAATGTCAGTTATGGTTTATTTTTACTGTTTGATAAATATCTGAACGGCTATAACGTTTTATGTATTCTTTTCTCTGTACCTTTTAATATTCTCTTGGTTATTAGGTTCCATTAGATATATATTATGATTTAGGCTTATGAAAGTGCTTTACCCGGAGGAATGGCTTTGTATATTATCAGTTATCACAGTAGTGTATACGAGAGATGTTTAATTTCCGGATAATCTTCATAGTTTTCAATAAACAAAACTTAGAATGCAACATCGTCACGATTCGCAGTGAGGAAGAAGTTTTTACAAACGGTCGTGATTTGTTTCGTTATAAAACAGTCGGCCAGGAAGGGAAAAAGGGAGCATTCAGCATCTGGTATCGATCGTGATCGTGATGTCGCGACTGTTGGAAAAAGGCATCTGGCTAATATAAAATCCACAATTTGGCTATGTAAAAATGATGTGTGAAAAATATATATACTTATACTTTTTCGTTTTCTTACAATTAACATTAAAAACTAATTCAATTTGTTTTTTTTCTCTGCTAACCAAAGGATTGAGATGTAAGTATTACACCGTTTAATTATTAACTTGCATGATATCACCCCTTAACGCTTAATGTTACTGGAAGCCTGGACGTTTTAGAGAATGACGCATCCCAATTAAACCAGCCTCCAGGAAGTCGTTAATGCTGTTAGTTTTTCTCCCTTTTTGAAAGTCTTCCAAGGGACTTGTGTTATAATTCAATCTCAGCTTCTAAACATTTTGAACTATTCATAACATTTCAATAACTTGCATGATTTATTAATGACTGTCATTTTGAAATTTCAATTTTAACTATAAGTTAGAACGCTTAGTCGAGGATCAATTCATTAGTACAAGATACAATTTGTGTTTGATCTGCCACGATCACAATGATCTAATCCTCGTTCTATCGAAAGCGGCGTTTTGCCAACTTCCAACATGCCAAATGATTCATTCATTTTGATTTTATTCACAACAAAAGGCAGACAAGCATTACCAATCTGATGCAAGTATCAGCAATATGCGCTTATCGACGCGGCATGTTTTAATATCTATTTATCATATTTGTAGTGAAATATGCATGTTTCTTTCTATATGAATATGACAATTATAGATAAAACAAATAAACCCGTATGTATAAAATTTTTCATAAAGAAAACAATTAATCGTTAATAACATAACTTCTGAGTGAGCTACTTTTGCTTTGATAAAACTAAAAAATGACAAAATTATCTCCTTCAATTCAAGTATTTTGTTTATAAATTTGTCTAATATGCAAAACGTAATGGCATATTATATTACATACCGTGTGAGTTTTTACAAAAGACATGGCCTTTTATTTTTACGCTGTCTACTTTTTGTGAAAATAGCTCCAAAGGTAATAGTAAATGTAGAATCTGCTGGTGCTATTAGAATAGGCTTAACGCGCCAATTTGCTAGGCCGACCTGGTAATCAACATTTTTTGAAATGTAATTCCCTATGTTTTTTTACACATTTTGAATGCCTTTACATTCTGACATGATAGCAAAAACTCAAAAATCCATCGATTCGATTTCGAGGGAAAATGGGGGTTTTCCTAGAAAAAAGGAGAAAATTTAATTGATTAAAATATGAAAATTGTGTATGTTGATTTTTTTAAGCAACAACATTCACTTACAGATAAATGTAAATGTCGAGATCTGAAGGACGTAAGGCAACTGATAACCTTAAGGAAGGTCAGGGGGCGGGGGGCCCAAAAACAGCCGGTAAAAAAGGATGGAGCCAGGTTGAGTGAACTCTGGGGGACGAGATCCTCTAACCATCATATTCCTAAATCAAGGCACTCTATTTTACTTGTTGTCATAACCAAAACGGGACTTTATAATATTAAATCACGGCGAAGGACTATTGTTCGTCGCAGGAAGACTTTGGAGGAGGACAAATCTCTCAATTAGGCCCATCTAGCCTAAGAAGGAAATGCATCGACCTCCAATTTCAGCTTCCTACTTCAATTATCACCCTCGTACAAATGGGCTGTAACAACAAATCGCCTTCTCTTAATTTTTTTCATTGTGGCCCAAATGGATTCAAACGCTTGAACGAGGCCGGCTCTTCTCACCTCCCGGCAGGAAAATCACACGTCGAACACGTTTGTGAGCCTGTTATGTAAAGACAGATCCAGGAGTCTTTATTGAGCCGAGGATTTTCAAAAAGTTGCCGTCTAATGAAAATCGTGACGAGAACCCAGATGCTTCTATTGGATAGATCCACATGCGATCACGAATAGTTTTTGGCTGTAATTTTGTTTAGGGGGTAAAAAGTCTCCAAAAACTTGTTAATACTGTTATTTGATTTAAAGGGTATCACCAAATTAACTTTTTTTGTAATTTAATAAACAAGTGAAACAGAAAACTGAATCAATTATTATTGAATAGATAGGCCTGATTACCTTTCTTCGCCTAGAAAACTTATAGATTCGATAATGTCTATTTGAAGGTTTGATGATCCAGTTGAAATAAACTTATTGTTCAGATGTTTTTTACTGTAAAAACCCTCTTGGACTCTTGATGGGTATACATAAGAGCACAACAGCAAATCTACAATTAACGTTTATACTACCTTCTAAAAGTGACACAGCATAATATACCAATTCTGTAAGGAAAATACCATAGGTTAAATTATCTCAGTACTATCTCAAGTTTGTCTTAACTATCATTAAACAATGATCTATATTTATATACGCAAAATATTAAAATATATTTTTATAATGAGAGTTGTTAGGGATATTATTGAACGTGTACGTTGTTTTTTAAATAACAGAATATTTAACTTTCGCCTGGAAATTTTTGTGCTATAGTCATACAACATATCGGATACCCTCAAGAAAATTGACACAAGATGAAAAATTATAAAAATTTTTAAAGTATTCGGGAGTGTCATGTTACAGGAAAAATATCGCAACTGCAGTGGTCACTTGGCTGCTAGGCAGCACTGTATCACTTTTCAATTGATCATTTACGAAAAGTGGCATATCTTATGTCTGTGTCGAGCTTTAAAGCATCGGTGTTAGTATTATCAGGAAAAGTGGCATATTTCGATTACGCCAGTTTTTTTTTTGTTTAGTGAAGGGTTTTATGCTGTGCTAAATTTTCACATTGTGAAATCCAATTGTTAAATCAATTGTACAAATATGTTTTTGGTAATGTGAAATTAATATAGGTCCTGATGATGATCCTAAAATAGGTCGAAAGCTTGGCAATAACAACTGAATTTGTTTTTTTTTCTTGAAGACCATGTCTTACTCTAGAGTGCTCGTGAATTATTTTAGTTTCATTTCTTTTATTTTAATAACCTTCTTAATTATAATATTGTTTTATCATAATTTTTTAACAATGTTGTCTTTTAACTTTTACATTATTTTATAGTTTCAACGATTTGTTTAATGTTTCAATTACATTATTTTGATAATCAATAAAACCTTTATTTCAATAATTAATTTTTAGTTTAACAATTTGTCCTGACTCCTAGAGGAAAGCCCATTTGAGTCAAAAATAATCTTAGTAAAACTTACTACATGGATATTTATGCTCGTTTATTAGGTTTGTAGGTTGTCTGTAACTATCACAAAAAAATTAATACCCCTAGTTATTCATTGACCACCATTATTGTTTGAGCAAACAAAAGCCAACTTACTGAGAGCCAATATATGCAAGAAAAATGACACAACTCAAAAAGTGGTAGAATTTAGGGTTAGTATAGCTGGTTTTCGGTTGTCTTGGAGAAAAAAAAAGACAATACTGACGGATCATGACAGTTTTTATTACCAACAACCGTAATGGCGAGTACTTAACACGCAAGTCAACTTCCATTTGTCTCTCCTGTAAAATTATCTTTTGTTGAGTTATGTCACTTTTCTTATTGGTGCGCGATATGAGCATGTGGTCCTTTTGGAGTTGGTCTGTGAATCGGTGAACTTATGCAACTGGGATAAGTGAGTTCCTCATGGGGCAATGCCGAAACGCGTTTGAGTAGTTCCGTGACAGATCCAATAAATGACACAGTGCCGGTTGCAACATTGTCACCTTTTGATTAATTTTTTCATCATTTAGTTTTAGTTTTTATTACGTATGTACACATATTACTAAAATTAAATTGTAATGAAACGAAGTAAAAAAAGTGACCACTTGCACATACGTCGTATGACTATGGTACAAAACCTGCGAAAGTTAAGTAGTAATTGTAATTTGGTCTGCCTATCTGGGCTGGTTTTTATGGTTTCTGTATTTTGTCAGGGATACAAGCACAGAGAAGTACCTACGGTAACCCGTCACTGAAGGGGGATTGGAAGAACAAAATGACCATCACGAACAAATCATAGGCCAATCAAACCTATTATTGTATTATTAAACAAAAACCCTATACCTTCAAAAATAGTTCAATAGCGTAGTTTTTCTGTTATTTTTAAATTATTAAATGCAGTGTATGTTTGTGTTTACACCAAAGCCCCAAATTTTGAACATTAATTTTATTCGCAGACTGCTTCTGTTATGTATGTTCTACTTTGTCGTAAAAATAATCCATCGTTACGAATTATTTTCTAACATATCAGAATATATGTATTCCTTAACTATATTTTTAACGAGAATTTTTTTTTTGTACGCTTTGTTTGAAAGGAGATAATTTGTCAATCGTGGAAACCAAAAAAAGTGGCTTTTAGGCCATCCTTTTTGTTGAAAATCTCTTAACAGTAATCCCCTGCTTTTGTTTGTGTAGTTCATAACAAAATATCCAACCTCAATTACATATTTTTAAGAGAATAGCCGTAAATCAAATCACAATTCATTTAACTCAAAGGTATGTTATAGTTACATTTAATTAAAACCCACAGGTCTGTTAACTTGCGAACATTCGGCACGATCTTCTCCGGGAAGTGATGAAATCACATATTCCATGATTAAAAATCTATCTCCAGAAGGAAAAGTAAAGCTTTTGGAATTATTTAACGAAATATGGGGTGCGGGATATTATCCTGAAAACTGGAGGGAGTCGGTCGTGATACCCATTGCCAAGCCGGGTAAAGATCCTAGCCTCCCAGAAAATTACAGACCTATTTCTCTAACATCATGTCTCAGCAAGACATTGGAAGCCATAATTAACAAAAGGTTAAATTGGTTTATTGAGAAAAAAGGTCTGTACAGTCCATACCAGGCTGGGTTTAGAAAGCACTTTTGCTCTGAAGATCATGTAGCGCTCCTTGAAAGTGCTATTCAGAACACTTTCTTGGAGAGAGAGCATGCTTTAGCTGTCTTCTTCGACCTGGAAAAAGCATACGATACGACCTGGAGATTTGGTATTCTTAAGAAACTCTATGATTGGGGTTTAAGAGGGAACACAGCTAAATTTTTAAAAAGCTTCCTCGAAATGAGGAGATTCCGGGTGAGATTAGGTACCGCCTTATCTAGTACGTTCATTCAAGAAAACGGGATTCCTCAGGGTTCGGTTCTGAGTGTCACTTTATTTGCCATTGCGGTAAACGGTCTTGCTGATAATATAGATGATCGTATAGTCAGGCCTTTATATGTCGATGATCTTTGCTTTTACTTGTCTGGGAAAAATCTCCAAAACGTAGGAAGGACNTATTATTATTATTATTAGCCATACAAGCCTACGGGGAATTTTTAAATTATGGAACAAAATTCACAATTCTAATTAAAAAAAGAAACAGAAATAAATTTTATAAATTTATTAAATTTTATGCAATTTAAAATGGGAATTTTGTATGCATTTGGCCTTCCGAATTAAGAATTTTAAAAAGAAAAATTAAAGCTTGGATGGCAATAGGATAAATAAGATTACGAGTGAATGTTTGGAGTCAGAGCTTTATAGCACTCAGAAGAGATATAGCTAACCTAAGATAGAAGGTTTGGATGTTAGGGCGTGAAATGACCTTAGCCGTTAAAACGCCCTTAAAAATTAATAATAATAATAATAATTTAATTAACAATTAATAAAATTAAAATATCGGTTTACATATATGTTTTATAAATTCTTAATCAATTTATAAAACAAATCTGGCGAATTTACATTAGACATTACATCTTAAAAGTTTTTAACATTGAAATATTCGTTTGTATCTTCTCAAACGTTAAAGGGAGAATGTAGGTAATCGATCAGTAAAATGTCCCTTTCAAATGAGACCGGTATCAATTTCCTCTTCGAATTTCACGAAACCGCGATATCAAATGTTTATCCTAGTAAGGCTTACTCTTCAAGTCTTATAAATGCAGGACGGCCTGTCACATCTTTTCTTTGGTCAGCATTCCTGTCCGTCGGCAGCAACGTGAACCCGAGCTGGATGTCGGATATTTTTTCGCAGTCCGTGAATAATAGAAAAGGCGAAATCGTAAAGGGTTTCCTGTTGGATTTGGAGCACCGGGCATCAATTCATAAAACGGCTTTTAACGGAATTGAACGGATTTCGTGAAGGTTCACTCTCGATGTCGGGACCGTTGGTCGGGATGAATGCGCGGGAGCCGAGATGAAATTTATTTCCGTGATGCCGGTCATCAGTCTCGTTATTGCCGATTCCGGTTTCATCTTCTATGAAACGAAAAGGATGAAAAATTAAAGAAGACTGAGGACAGTTGAAATGGAATATCTTTTTCAGCCCCGGTGAAATTTCTGTTCACATTGCGTACAAAAGAGAAGAAAACTAATTCAAAACAAATCTTTCTTGTTAAACGTAATAAATGGAAATTTGATAATTGCTAAAAATACTTATTTTAATTTTTGGTATACAATTGAATTCCAAAATAGAATGGTGTCTCAAATTTTAAGAAATAGGGGTATAAGACAACATACATTTTTAACTTAAAACCCGTGAACACCAATTTCTTCAAATTTATCACTAGTTCTAATGTTTAAAACACGTAATATGATTTTAAATATTTTAATTCAAAATTTAATCCAACAAAATATAATTGTTATAGCTGTTTTGAATGGCATTGATGGGTGAAAATTATTACTATTTAAAATTTTTAAAATAATTTTAATAATCAATCATTTTTATGTAAGTTTTAAATTTTTTTATATAAAAATTTAAATGGGAAAAAGAAAGAATTATTTTCAAAACAAAATTTAAACGAGTTCTTTGTCACCTTCCTCAAGCCCTTGAACTTACATCTTTTGCCAAAAAAATTTAACAAAAATAATTTATTAATAATGTCTTGTTTTAATATTTAATGAAAACACATTATCTTAACATTGTATAATTATATTGATTTTTGTCAAAAGATAGTGTAACCTCCTAGTTGACCCAACCACCAATTTTCCTGGTAGAAAAATGACAATGTTCGTTTTCCAACACTTCTGTAGTAAATTTTCTACTAATGTTTTAGTTTCTACGTCAAAACCATAGCTGTATCTTCGTACGCGTACAAATACAAGGTTGCATTCTTGTTTGTTTTTTCTAATATATTTTACACTCAAAAACAGCAAGTCGGTTTGAGCTTTCAAGAGGAAAATAAACATTCCGTGGCAAACTTTCTTTCTTGCCTATTAATATATTATTATTAATTTTTTTAATTATTGAGAATATGTCCTGGGAAGTGTTGACGTTCGAATCATTGAATACAATATAATGAACTAAATGGATTCAAATTGATTTGACTTATGAGCAGAGTAAGGTCTCTTATCATAATGATGATTTGAAATAACAAAAAAACAAACAATGATATCATATTTAGAATGTAACCAAAAGAGAAAACTTGCCATATAATGAGCACAATAGATATACTCAGGTCGAGGTGCGGAAGGTCTTGCGGCTGCCTCCTATCCTATCCCTATCCTAGAACGTATTTTCTATCTTTACCTATTTTTCTATCGATCGAATCCGTAATCGATCTCCACAAGTTCTTGAAGAGGGAGCCAGCCAGAGCATCAAAAGCTCTTCAACAAGAGTAAATAGTTTCATAATGACACTAGTTTAATGAATGAAATAATAATGACACTATAAACGAAGAAAAAACCAAGCGAAACTAAAAATAAATTAGAATAAATATTACAATAAGCACAAGGTAAAAGCAAATTAAAAAATTTTTCTATCTTGCTATGAAAAGAAAATCGCATGTGAATTTCGAAATAATTTAAAATCAAATTCAAATTCAATTATTTTATTACCTTACTTTTTAACTTATACTGTAAATTAAAGTTAGTATTCAATTCTGGCATTTGGTCTGTGGTAAAAAAGTCAGTAGCTAAATCAGAGTGTCCATTTGGATCAGACCTCGTTTTTATTCAAGTAGTAAATAAAAGACCCGTATGCAATAAAGGTTACAACTTCCTTTATTTTTATTGCCCGTGTTATAAACGCGACAGATTTATCTTAGATGATTCACTAGTGCCTTTCTGTCTTTTTATTAAATGAGATTTGGCTTATGCCTTGATATGGTATGGTAACATTGGATTATCTTGGATTATTTGGATTGATCAAATGTTGGTTGGTTGATGACCCAGGAACTTATTGTGTATCCCAAATCATCTTTTTATTTATTTATTTTTTTTTTTACGAGGGTTCGCAACAGCAGAGGCTATATGGTACCTCGGGGTATGCAGGGCCGCTGGATTCGAACTCGGGACCTTTACCTTACAATGATGGGCGCCGTGTCAATGACCAAACCGTTGCGGCCACCGACGCCCCCACTAACTGGAATTATTAACGAGATTCGATTTGAGGTTTTGTTTATAAACCCTTTCCTCTATCTAATTGTGCTTTAACGCTTGAATTTTCTTTTCTCACAGAATACATAGATAGGTTCGTTTCTGTGGATCGTAATTGTATACATAGATAGGTTCGTTTCTGTGGATCGTAATTGTATACATATGTTTCTTTAAATGGCAGTGCACTTTCAATATGTCATTAACTAAGAATGATCTTTGGGAATGTACTCAGCGAGGTGAAAGAATTTCCATCGTTTGCTTAGAATGCCTTGTCTCATTTGGTGCGTTTGTTTTAATGTCTTCTTGCCCAGTTTGGTATATTTTTTTCTTTTGGACCAAATCGAGTTTTCACCATTCTTTTATATCCTGGCACCCAAGTCAAGCTCCTGGTTATTGGCATACGATTTGGGATCTCTTTCTCATTACTCTATTAATTTTGTTTTATTTCGTTTATAAGTCACTAGTTATGTTGTATTTACTACTAATACTCAATCTTTTTTAAAATGGATTATTGCATATATTGATTTTTATTATCTTATAGGTCCTTCTTTTTGATCCAGTTTGTCCGAGTCAGAAAGTTGCTGGTTGTTGGTATGGATGGTCTCTTGTTATTTCTTCCATTAGTTTTGTATTAGTTCGTTTATAATTGACTCGTTATGTTATATTTACTACTTACACTTCCAATTATTACGTTAGTTTTGTTCATAATTCATTCATAATTTACTACTGATATTCATTGTCTACATGTCACATTTTGGCTTTAAATATCTTATAGGTCCTTCTTTTTGATCCAGTTGTCTGATTTTTCAAATCATTGTTATTTTATATCGTGGCAACCGAGTCAGAAAGATAGAATGTTCTTTGAGCAATCGATCATCAGTTTTGTGTTATTTAGTTTTATCATTCACGACTTACGTTAAATTGACTGCTAAATCTCTGTATATCAGTTAATTTATATTTAAACAATAAATACAGAACATTGATTCATATTATATCTGGTTGAGAATAAAAGGAAAAACGATCAATAATTACGACAATATTTATTCAAATTGGGTTGTTTTCGGTGGGCATAGATCATTATCAATTGTATTTTTGTTTTAATATAAGTCATTTTTTAATTTAGTTTTAAGGTGAAGCGTAACAAAACATACCAAAAGACGGTTAAAGATGTAAAGGGCGTTTTGTACAAATAAAAGTTTTTCTATTAAACTTTTCCTTAAGGGGAACGTGCGGAACAGTTCCGAGGGAAGGTAAGCCCCGCACTTTTGTGATAATAAACCTTTTAAAGATCCCTTTGTAGGACAATAGGTGTTATGTTGCTAAGAAATCCTTTTGAGAGGACAGCTTTAGTAGGTTTGCAATTGTGAGAAAACGGAGTAGGAACGGAAATTAGAATTTTCAGAGGAGCGGGCCCTCTCGCTGAGACAGCCTACCCTTTATTTCGGATTTACTCGCACCATTACCAAACGAAACTAGTTAGCCCGTTTTAATCAACCTTTATTCTTCTTTTGCACCTTAAAGCAAGAAGTCCCATCCCCGAGCAATCTCAAAAACGGCATCAATTTCGTTTTGGGTCAGGGAAAACTTGATGAAGAGAGATCAAAAGTCCTTTAAAACCCGTTAACAGAGTTTATACAGTCGAGTAATTTGGAAATTCAAAGTATAATTAAGTTCAGTCTTATATTCTCATTTATGTTAGGTTTGCAATTACTATTTATCACTTGTTACATTTCGCACCTTTAATTCATATTTAATTTTTTTTTTACAGATACGGATAACCAGAGGGTCATCATCCACGTTAAAGACGTCAACGATGAATCTCCTTACTTCATCAACAGGCCTCTACCAATGCAAGCAGTCGTACAGTTAAACGCACCTCCGAACACACCTGTCTTCACTTTACAAGCCAGAGACCCCGACACAGACCACAGCATCCATTACTTCATCGTCAGGGACAGAAGTAAGTGTCAAGCCTACTCCGATCCAATAAGAAATATATCTGTGTTTTATTTAACTAATTAAAATATATTTAACTTCTTGATGTGTGTTAAAACACATCCAAGAATGTATATAGAATACTTCACCAGTCATAGGGCAGAAATACCAAGTAATAATCAAGAAGGGACAACAATTTTGACGAAATTCTCAGAAATTTGTTATTATAAATTAGGATTAAATGACCATTATGTAATGCAATATGCAGAGTTTTATGATTTAAATGTTATAAACCGGAACAAAGGTCGCATTTTCTGTAATCTTAAATTTTTTCTAATTAACTTGGAAATTTGACCTGCGTGATAACAAATCTCACACTGTATACAGAACACCACAACAGTCGTAGAACCATAAACGATACCAACACTATATAATACATTGCTTATACAATACAATATTTGTGTATAATATACAAAAACGTCACAAAACAATTAAAACCAAGGAGGGACAACGATGTTGACATAGCTTTATGAAAAATATATACAACTTTCGAACCACCATAGGAAAAACAATGCTTAACTGGACTCTGGTGAAATTTGCTTAATTTTCTAATTACATAAAACGAATTTCTCCGAACACAATTAAGGAATTCAATTATACGTGTAGGGGTTATAACGTAAAAGGGTTAATAAATTAATTCTTCTATAAAAAAATCATTCCTTATTTAATTATTCCGTATTACATTAAATAAATAAAGCTAGAAATGATGAGAAAAGAAAATGTATTAGGTATCTACTTTCCTAAAATATAGAATAAAATAAAATAATAACTACAATAGAAGCAATTTGCAAAGTTCAGAAAAACCAAGCAAACAAAGCTTAATGTTATGTATTACGAATGTACTTTAAGTCAAATGTGTGTTGGAAGACGCCTCCTTTAGCCCCAACGCAACTGCCCAATCAGACAATTCTAGGTGGATATTCACTATTTAGGTTGGATATTTACTAATTTTATTCTGTCGGGTCGTAATATGTCTTAAATTTCAATCCCAACGGTTTTCAAAACATAAACCAATTCTAGCATGCGCCCGAACATGTTATTATAATATCATGCCAGTTCAACTGAGAAATATCCGCCAAAAACTGCCCAATTGGGGTTTAAGGAGACGTCTTCGAACACCGCATTTACGTCATTTCCGTTAAATTAACCATTTTTAATTTGGAATTAATCCGTTTTAACTTCAAATTAACTCTTTTGTACCTAATAAATTTTCTTTTCTTATCGGCTTGTTATTTTGTTCATTTATTTATTTAAAAACAGAATATTTTTTTCATTTATAACATTACATTTAGATTGTAAAATTGAAATTAATTTCAATAAATTAGTTTTTATTAGAAAATTGCACCTCAGACCGTTTAAGCATTGCTTTTCCACCCTGATAAATAATCTGGATCCGTAAGGACTCGATGCGAAAGCAAATTCAACGATTTCTTCCAAGCATCCGACCCATTTTAAGGTCATCGTCAGGGCAAAACAATCTTAAATATTTCCAGAAATTGATGTAATTAAGTTTTTAATAGATTTAATACTTCGTTTTAAGACCGTCTAAGTCTTAAAATTGTCAAGAACTGTAACCAGGTACAGTTACATACATTGGCAATGTTGGGGTCTTTGTCGGCCTTCAAAGAAATTTTAAATCTTGTATAAAAACTTAATTATGTTAATTTGTGGTCAAATTTAAGAGACCATACCGTGATTGATATTATTCGTGAGTAAAAAAGTGGTTGATATATCTAACAATTAAACCACCCAGATATAAATACCATTGAATCAAGATTGAGCAAGGTGGTTCGACCTGTTGTCAAATTCAACTTGTTTTACATTTAATACGGTAGTTTAATATTTTTCAATTTTTTTCTAGCGGGAGGCAGGTTCGAAGTGGATGAACGGTCCGGCGTTGTCCGCACGCGTGGAACCGACCCTTTCCAACTTGACATGGAGTACGTGCTCTATGTCAAAGCTGAGGATCAAAACGGCCGAGTGGACGAAAGGCGATATCAGGTTAGCAGAACAAAAGAACTATTTTTTACCTGGGATGAATTATAATCTTTGTTTCGCTTACTCTTAAAATGAATCAAGTTAAAGAATCTAAACTCAATCAAATTATTAAATGTTGAAAGGAGGCTGATAATTCGGTTCTGTATAGAAAGAAAAACTGTATAAAAATTCAAACAAATGTTCGGCTATATTGGGATACAAAGTTGTTATTGTTGTTTATTAGAAATCTGTGGTGATGCATTTTTAATTATTTTTTATTTCAGTAAAGAGAAGGTAAATGCAATTTATTAATGTTAATTATTTTTCTTAGTCGACACCAGAAGAAAGGCTGTCTATCGTAGGAGGAAAAAGGGCGCCCCAATTTTACATGCCAACATACGAGGCTGAAATTCCAGAAAACCAGAAAAAGGACTCTGAGTAAGTTGCTTTTGAATATATAATGCTGCAACCGTATTACAAAGTATGTTTGCCGTCTTGGGTTAACATGCGACGAAAAGGACTACTCAGCTGTGTTCATAAATATTTACGTAGTCGAATATTTATCGTTGAAGTGAAATGAGCCAAATGCACAGAATAGTTGCGACCCCATGGAACGGTGAAGGTCACAAGTTTTTGATTGGGGCCGAGGGCAAACGGAAGAGGGTATTGCTATTGTTGTTCCCCAACCCCACATGTTAGCCACGTGTTGAAAGAAAAAGCCCGGGCCTGGTGGTGATAGAGGGTCGGAGAACGCTGGGTGAGACGAACTGGAAAGGTGGGGTTGAAGGGTGGGTCGCCCTAACTTCACTTCCTAACAATTTCATTCCGTCTGTCAATTGCAACACACTTAATTAACTAGAAAACCCTATTGACCACCTCTAGATTACGTTCGATTGGCAAGTGTTGAACGCTCACCTGAGGAAATTGTGTTTTTATGAGAGAACAATCCTGACAACTTCACAAGTTGTTCTTGGTAAATAAAATATCGGAAACAGTGGAAATCAATTGGTATTTCTTTCTCATATCATACCACGACACACTCTTGTTCTATCGATTTATAAATATAGCATCATTTTTATAGAACGTCTGTAGAACTAGAAGTATCTTAAAACACCAATGCATACTTTGATTGTTATAATCAATAATTCTATGCTGAACTGGCTATAGTAATTTACTGGGTCCTTCTACAGTCTAGGGTCAGTTCAACTTGTCTTCTCAGTACGCAGACTAACATCCACCATTAATAATAATTGTATTTTGTAAAAAAATGCGTTCCCCACCTGGTTTATTAATAATATTGCTATTACTATTGTTTGGAGGATATATGATACTTCAATAATTGGAGTGTGCAGAGGTCAGTCCATATGATGACGGTCCACAAACCGAGGGGAGGTTCAGTTCGTCCATACTTAGGTTACTTGCGTCTTACGATGAGGCTTTGCAAGTTGACTTTGCACCCGGTTGGTAAAATACTTAATTTCGAAGTGTGAATTGCTATAAGATTTTAGAAAATTTTAAAAAATAAAGCATGTTGAAAAGTGCCATAGTAGCTCAACAATGCTCAGACGTCAGATGTTTTTTCAATATCAATTGGAAGATTCATGTATGAAAATTCATCACAAGAATTGTCACCGGCGACAAGAGGAAGTCATTCTGAATAAAAGACAATACTACCAGATTTTTCGATAATTTTAAAGAAATATGTTTAAGTACTCTAATATTAGCTTGTTCAAGAAGGGTTCCTGTTATTTGTGAGCTTCATTAGCGTATAAGTTTTAGAGAGGCGAGCTTAACGTTGTAACAAAAGAAAGTTTTATTTCAGCGAGAATACGTCCGACCGCTCAGTTGCCATATGAAAGGGGATTCAGAAGACTTTCAGAAATAGATGGAATCGTGCTTCTATCAACAAACACACTATTATACAATACCATGACCCCGGGATCTTTCCGACTTTCAGACAGCTTCGAACACCTACTGCTAATAAGTTCAGATTGACTGTCTACGAGCTACCATCGAGGCCGATCGGACAAAAAATATTCGGTATCTGAACAAACAGAAGATCTGAAATGGATGGAGCTTTAATGTAATCACCGTACAGTTCTAATCTTGCTCCTTTGACTGTTTAACAAATATGGCGGTTCTTAAAGGCTGAGATCCGTAAAAAATTGCGGCGATTTAGTAGCTGGATGAAGCAAAAACTTTGCAAAATGGATGGAATGTGTGTTATGTCGCAGACATGCTACATAGTTCTACCTTCCCCTTTGAGATTATCGAACATCTATGGCTGTTTCTCTATGGCAGATCAAATCTGTGGAAAACAGAGGCGATGTACTGGCTGGCTGTTTGTCTATGCTGAAGGTCCAAAAACATTCATTGTCAACTGCCATAAGAAGCAAAAGTCCTGAAATCGTTGGAATTCAGCTTCTGCTTAACTCATCTTGCACTATGCCCTGATTCTTCAGACTGTCGAACATCTATGGCTCTCCTTACGAAATATTCAATCTCACATTCACTGTATAAGAAACTGTGTAGAAAACAGCGTCAATCTACGTGTCAAGGAAGATCTACAAAAATTATTTGGAATCAGTCTAAAAAAGCAAATACTTTCCCAATGGATGGAATAGAGCTTCTTCCGCAGTCACTACCTTTTCCCGGCTCATTCGACTGTCGAACATCTATCGCTGTCCCTCTTTGCAAGGTTCAGATCTGCGGAAAACAGCGACGCTGTATTAGTCTAGTAGTCGCTGCTACTATCGAGGCCAATCAGACAAAAAATATTCTAAAGATATTAAATATTGGAATAGAGCTTTTTCCGCAGTCACCATTGTCATGACCTAGCATCTATGGATGTCCCTTCCTAATATTCAAAGCTTTAGAAACAGCGAAAATCTACGAGCTGCTAGCTGCAAGTTTTGAAGCAAACACTTTCCAAAATGGATGGAATTTATCTTCTATCGTACTCATTCTACCTCACTACATGAGGTTCTACCTCACATCTAACACTTAAGCACTCTTTAACTGTCATACAAAGAAAAACATTCTAAAATGGAATGGGGTTTCAGCTTCAGGCAACTACTTCAAACAATACTCCATTCCTAAACAGAAATTTTAAAAAAAATTTTTTTACATTTAATCTATTTTACACCTGAAGTACGAGTTTTTAGCTATTAAAATCCAAAAAATGGTCTTGCCTAGAGGATTAGGAAATCTGTTAAGATGAACTGATTTCCAGGATGTATCTCTAGAATATAATGATTTATAATTTTTAATAAAAGTAATTTATACTTAATATTTTACTTTAAACAAAACGTTCTTAGTTTCGAAGCGACCTTAATTTAATTTAAAAACAGACTGAACATGAGAAATAATAATTCTCTTTTTTTATTTAGCGGATCACTGATTCATGATCAATGGTTAACTAGTGCTTTCAATGTTCGCTATAATGAGATCCTGGCTTCGTTTAGATTCATAAACCAATTGGCAAGTCGAACAATGTTCACTGAACTTTGTACGGAATCGTCTTATGGAAAAGTAAACAGTCTTCGCGGTTATTTTTGAATTGCAAAAATTTGCAAATTAATAATGCTGATGTATTTTGGTACGTTGCTACCATTTATGAAGACGATTCATTGTTCAATTCAGTAACGTCTTAGAAAACTCTTAGAAAAATAATAATAGGAGAAATTTGGAGGTGTTTGTGTACTGAGTCGAATCTATAACAAAACAAAATAATTCAACAAAAGAGGGTATCATTAATTTTTTTTTCTCCTTTTTCACCACTTTTAAAATGATTTTCAGGCTGATTTCCTTCTGCATTGTGGTATTTATGAAACTTAGCTACAAAAACAAAACGCGTTGAAAAATGGTCCTTTTGGAGAACCGTTTGCGTACAATTGTTCATACAATTTTTAGCGCAATGTCAGCAACAAATTGGCACAGAAAAAATTGTAGTGGTGGAGAGGCCCATCGGAAAGACGTATACATGGGGTGGACCCCAAGCAATTAACCGGCTGTCAAGGGTGTGCGCTTCGACGAACGGGAAAACGGGCAGCAATGACCCTTTTTACCAGTTGGTTATTGCCAGGCTAAATTTACTTTTACCACGTTTGGAGTTGGAAAAATCAACTTCTAACGTTCGATGAAGAATGCATTTAGGAATGTACTTAGTCCCTAGACTGTGAGCTATGTCGAAATGACCTGGAACGGTAATGACATGGTACGAGACTGTCTTTAACCCTTCAGTCATCTCCAAGGCCGCAGGATTTAAATAACAAACAGACAGTAAAGAAATTCACTCCGGCTGACGGACTGTTGTCTATGCCGTAAAGTATTTTGTAACATATTTTGAGTTTGTTGTATTCCATGTAAATAAATACTATTATTCATTCATTCATTCAGTAAAGAAATTCTTAACAATTCAAATTCTGTGTGGAAATATCACCGTATCAAGACTGTAATTAACTGTTTAATTAAACCTGTAATAAGCAGGATAGAAATGTCACTTTTATTTTTCTTTAATACAGTTGAATCGGCATAAAAATAACATTTGTAAAGGAAATACAAATGTCTGGCTTGTTTTTGAACTGAAAATATCAATTAGTTGGTACGTAAAATTATATTAAAAACAAGTGAAAATGTTTAAAGAAGGTTAAAGTTTTATTGTCTGTTTGTCTGTTTTCTTTAAGATAAAATAAGTATTTTTTTGTGAAAGAAGATTGTACATCTTTCAATAGAACAATGGCGCTAAAAATCAAAATCATCTATCTTCACCGTCCAGACTAGATTGATGTCAATAGAAATAAGATTTTCTCGTGAGAGAAATTCATACAAGTACAAAATCAGAAAAATGAAAATTGTATAACCGTCATTCTCTTTTGAAATTTTCGGCATTCTTTCACAAACGGCGGTAAATGCTTTCCTAAGGGTTGTTCGTACTCTAGGGACAAAGCCCGTTTTACGCAAGCCGTCGTTAGCATAAGTGGCTCACCATGTGGCGTCAAGCACCTCGCAGGAAGCAATTAACTACACCACGATTGTAGCCGGAGTAGTGGTTTTTTTTTCAATCCTATCCCATTTACATGCAAATCCACTTTTCAATTGGCGTCTCGTATGTCAGCCGTCGTTTGTCTGATTTATCTATTTTGAGGTTTCCCTTTACGGCCCCTCTTTTTTCACTCTGCTTATATTGTTTGTCAGCGTTTTCAAAGGTTTCGTCATAGCACGTCTTTTCCCTTGTTTGTCATCATTAACTGTGTTCAAAGTGTTTCGGCCGAAAAGATTTTATTCTTTAATTAAAAGAGATATGGACATTGTCGGCTTGCTAGGTTTAATTAATTTGTCGTTATAAGATTTCTTGTCGGTAATCAGAACTTTATCAAACTTCTTATCTGGGCTTCGTGTGATACATATAAAAATAAAATAAAGCGACCAATTTTTCTCGAATTTTAAAAATGTTTAAATTATTTTTTAGCATTATATCCGTCAAGGCGAAATCCTTTGCAGACAGAGAAATCCGTTACACACTGAAAGCACAAGGACAGGGTGCTGGTACATTCAACATCGGACCTACATCAGGTAAAATAATCAAAATAACATGTATTTTATGACTTAATATTTTAATTATATTGACGCTAACAATATTTATTTAATTTAGGAATCGTAAAGCTGGCTAAAGAGCTGGACTTCGAAGATTTAAGACAACCTCATGTTTACTCATTAGTGGTGACTGCCACAGAGGACAGCGGAGGTTTTTCAACGTCCGTAGAAGTAAGTTGGATTACAACAAATGGTAAATTTATTTAATAATAAATAAATACTCCCCTAAATAATAAGCAGTTTATATGGTTCGACTGGAAATTATTCCGCTGAGAGATTTTTTCGCGTAATGCCATCTTTTTTTAATTTTATTTCTGATTGGATAATGGGACATTTTACAATCTCCTTTTTAATTAGTACTAGTACTTAATACTTTAGTGTATTAATTATAGACTGTAAAGCTGTGTTGATATAATTGCCTTGGGAAAAAATAGCATTCCTCTATTAATTTATCGCTATAAACATGTACTATCATTAGGGGTTTCTTCTTCTGAACCAGTTGTTTATTTATTTTATTTTATTTTTAATTTTGAAATACATACATACAGTTGACAATAAGAGTGACTGATGTGAACGACAATGCGCCCAAGTTCGAATTGCCAGATTACCAAGCGCATAACGTGGATGAAGACATCCCGCTGGGAACGTCGATACTAAAGGTGAAGGCGACGGACGCTGATTCCGGTACAAATGCCGAAATCGAGTACCACGTCTCGGATGACCATTTCGCAGTCGATTCCAACGGCATTGTCAACAACAACAAGCAACTAGACGCGGACAACAACAACGCTTATTACGAATTCGTGGTCACGGCGAAAGATAAAGGTATTTTTGTAAACGCCTTTTTTTCTGGTCTTTTGATAATTATAAAGAACAAAATCTCTAGGGGAGCCTGCGAAAACGGGTACGGCAACGGTTCGAGTTTATACGAAAAACAAAAACGATGAGGAGCCCAAATTTTCTCAGCAAGTCTACACCCCGAACGTTGACGAAAACGCAGGGCCGAATACCCTCGTGACAACTGTGGTAGCTTCCGACAAAGACGGTGATAATGTGAGGTGAGATAACCATTTAATTGCACTACAATCTAAAACTAAATATTCATTACTCCATTATTATATGTATAATATAATGAAAATAAGCAGGAATAATTACAACTCGTTTTTACTTTTCCCTCCTTTGTTTTTAATTTTTACATCAAGGGTTGGATGTTAAAATTGGAACTCATAAAAACCACAAATTCGACAAGATTTGCTTTGAAGTTTTAAAATTATTTATTGTAAATGCATTTTGGCCTATTCCACAGGTCCCTCCCTCTTCAAGGCTGCTAAATTATATAATAAAAAAAAATCTCAATACCCAATTTTGCGAGTTTATAGGTTTTATGAGTACAACATTTTGACACCCACCCTTGGATGTAAGAAGAAATAATAAGTGTAACTAGTTTTACTACTACTGATTATGCACAGTAATTAATTCAATTTTGGACCATTTTGTAATAATTACATAAAATTATCAAGCTGAATATGCATGCAGTGTTGGAATTAAATTGCCATTTTGATATCTATTGAATATTGTGTTGAAGTCTGCTACACAATTTAAAGGACTTTAAAAATTTAAAGGATCCAGAACATGACAGTCGAATAGATTAAGAGACAAATAAATTAAGAAACTGAAGTCATTTAAATCAAAGCCTATTTCAGTTTCATCTGGAGGCCACAGGGATCACACTTTGGTTTTTTGCTATTTCTGTTATTTCTGCTAGATAATTTTGATGATCTAAAAATCGTTCAAATCAACCCATAAAAATTTTAAGCACATTATTAATGTTAAAAAGAAAGCTATTCAATTCACCGACAGCTCGGTCATTTCAGCCCCAAGTGGAAATATTGGAACACACATTCAATACGCATTCACACAAATAAATACTTTCGCACTTATATGATGATCAGAGATGAAAAGTTACATTTATATAACTGTGAACTTTCTTCATCATTTTGTGGGGTGATGTTTGGTTGTCATCGATAATTTTAAATTGTGCCGGTTTGGTCTACCAAAATTGTTTTATCTTTTTACCATCTTCAGCATTAGTATGTCTTGATTTCCCATGTGGTTCTGGGCTGGGATTTCTCATGGTTTTGCTCATGACTACGAGTTTCCTTTGCTTTATCCTCTAAGTTCTATAATAATTCTTTATTTATGTATATTTCTTAACCTTCAACTTTTAGCTGCCTTGAAAATAACCTTTACATCTGACTTTTACAAATTTGGACAAGATGAATTTTCTTTGATTCTAAAGACTTTGTCTGCTACTGTCATGTTTTATCTCTAGTGTGTTTGTCTGCCAGAAGTGTTTTAGTTTTTTACCATCTTCAATGTTAATGATCATTTTATTTTGTTTATTATTAATTAATTATTCATAAATTATAAAATTATATATAATATTTTTTATCAATAGTTTTTTCAGTTGCAAAAGTTCTATGTTTGGTAGTCTACCATTTCTATGTTTGGTAAAGCTTCTGAAAGCTTACTCTCTTCCTTTTAATTATTATTAAATAAATCAAGTGAAGGATTATCTCTGATATAAGAAGGTAAAGAATTGGTTATAATTCTGTTGACATTGATGAATTTTCATTTAGATTTCCATTTAGTTGTGTTGGGAAGTTCAACTCAGCAGAGAAAAATTCATTTAACAAAGGCTTGAGAGCACTTGGGAAGTGTAGAGACGTCTTAATAAAGGGTAGATCGTGTTCATTAGAAACGAAAAAGAGACTGTTTGATTCTATTGTTGCTGCCTCATCCTTGTATTCTGCGGAATTGTGGTCCCTTGGCCATTTTAACGAAATGGATAAATTACAAGTATGGTATTTTAAGCAACTTTACCATTTGCCCAGAAATACTCCTAGTCACTATGTAAGGATTGCAATTGAACTTGAGCCCATTACTGTGCAGTTGCTAAAAATTATTTTAAATTTGTGGATAAAAGTATTGAGCACGGAAAATGGTTCGCTTTTGAGAAGTTCCTTTCATGATGTCTTCCGTAAGGCCAATTCATCAGCATGTGATTTAGAAGTAAATTATAGGGACTGGTTTTATCAATTACAGAAGTTATTGATTGGTATAGGTTGTAACAAGATGTGCCTTTGTGACCCTGAATGTCTAAAACGCGAAAAAGAAAGTATTTTGTCGAAGTGGAAAAATAATCTCTACTCAATAGACATAGAAAAGGTGCTAAACTCAAAATTTAACCCTTTTTTATAGAAAAATCAGCTCCCTGTATAAATTTGAAAATTATTTACAACTAAATTTGTCATTAAATAAGCAAAGATTACTTATACAACTAAGGCTATCTAGTGCTAAGGAAATCAATTTTTTTGTAAATGGGCTCAAATATGTAATTGACACACAATCAATGTGCTCTTTATGTAAATTGTTTGAATAGGAGAACTTGGAATATATATTTTTACATTGTCCAATTTACCAACCTCAAAGATCCTTTTATTTAAAGAAGTACATAGATAAACACGTAAATAATAACAATTTAGACAAACTTGAGTTCTTGCTAAAATTTGAAGCAAAAACCAGGCAATTGATGTGTTCAATTTTGTTTATGAAGCACTTAAATTGAGAGCTTTTGTTGTCAATGAATGATGTTTTATTGTTGCATCATGTAATTATTGATTTTAAGTTAAGCGCCATGTATTTGATGATGTAATTTGATTAGATCTTACATGCTATTATTATTATTATTAATTACTTTTGTAAATAGTGTCATGTCAATTTAAGTTGGAACATATCTTTAATGATGTATATATCTTTATTTTGCCATTTGGCTCCCTCCTGTAATAGCTATTGTTGAAATACAATATTAATCTATCTATCTAATTTAGATTTGGTTTCGTCGGAGGGTCAACTTCATCTGGCCAGTTTGTTATAGAAGAAATAACCGGCGTTATCCGTTTGCATGGGAAAGCTATTTCTCTTGATCGGGACAAATATGAACTCAATGTAACTGCAAAAGATGATGGGGCTTGTTGTGTCAACGGTGACTCAACGACACACACCAGCACTGCTGTTGTTGTTGTTTTCATCACAGATGTAAATGACAACAAGCCCATTTTCAAGGACTGCGGAACATACTACCCCAAGGTTGAAGAGGGTGCGCCAAATGGCAGTCCTGTAATTAAGGTACTGTTCACTTGTAATATTATGTCATGATTGCATTTTCAATAATAATTAATACTTTTTCTTTTATTAGGTTCATGCAACAGACGAAGATAAAGGTGTTAATGGACAAGTAAAGTACTCAATCGTCCAACAGCCTAACCAAAAAGGGACTAAATTTACTGTGGATGAAGAAACCGGAGAAGTTACAACAAATAAGGTTGGTTACAATGTTGGCTATTCATGATTTTTTAAACCCTCGGGTTCTTTGGAGATTTTAAAAGTATGTCTGCCACGACCTAACCTAGGTATTGACACAACTTTTATATGTTATGTTTTGGAAAGATTGTAGGAGTTTGATTACTTTCCTTACACTTAAGCTTTAGGTTTAAGCTTTAAGCATTGTTGCTTTTCTAAAGAACTGTATTGTATAAAAGCAAAAATTCGCAGTCACATAGGATATTCTGCTATCTGGTGGAGTTCTATATATATTATGCAGGGTGCACCATTTTATCTCGGGGAGTGATTTGGTGATGTCCTCTCCTTCAAAAGTTTCGAATCTAGACCTAGTGTACCAATCACACTCTGTGAGATAGTGCCTTGCTGTTTCTTCTTTTATTTCACAAAAACGGCAAAAGGGATCTAGTAGAATACCCATTATGAAGAGGTGTCTTCTCAGTGGGCAAGTGTGCGTTCTCCAATGATGATGTATGGAGAGTAAATATGGATGGATGCAGTCGATGATGAACCTAACCTCAAAATGCTTGAAAGGGTCCACAGAATAATTGCAATTAGAATGGTTAAAGGTGATTGCATTATGTCGTATGAGGCAGTATTACTACATACATACTACTACAGGCAGTATTATAATACATAATACCTTTAGGAATAAAAATTAGGCAAATAGGTGAACAGTACATGACACTAAGGGGACTCCAAGGAATTATTAACCTTGAGGGGCATAAGGTTGATCGACAAATTTCTTAAAAGAAGTAGAGTCACCAAGCAGGGGTTGTCAGAATAGAAAAACTCTTAATCAAAGGGACAATAAGATATATTATATATACACAGATGGAAGCAAAATGAAGTACAACGTGTATATATATTATCATAAGGCTAAAAAAATATATGAGGAAAAGTTCAGACTACATAAATAAAATATGTTCAATCAGGCCGAACTGTTAGCAATTTAGAAAAGGATTTTAGAGCAGAGGAACTTACATCCATAAGGAAAGATGAACAACTAAAATTTACTGTAACGGACAGTAAAGTAGCCATAGCTGTTTTTTGCAATGTATATAACAAAAGAATGCTTGTCGAGGAAATTCATATGAAAATAAGAAGTCTTAGCATGCTGTGGTCTGTGATCCATTTATGCTGGGTGAAGGCACACATTGGAATTCCTGAAAACGAAGAGGCTGACCATCTAGCTAAGGAAGCAGCTACTGGTTTAATTCTAACAGTAAGCAAAAAAGTTCCGAAAAGACATGTGAAAGAAATTGGGTATATCAAAGCAATGGATAAGTGGCATAAAAGATTGGCACACTTCGGAAAAAGGTCAAAACATTAAAAAATTCTTCCCTGACATTCCATCCAGGACAGTGATAAAAGATGTTTTACCATTTACACTCAAGTCTCACCAGGATTTTGTCAAGACATGGCCCACAAGTATTTCCACTAATTCAAAATAAAAGAAACTGGCAAATGCATATGTGGGCTGGCTGTCCAGGACATTGATCATATATTGTATGACAGTCCCTTATTCGACCACCACAGATATTTAATGATAAGAGTATACATTCTCCAAGGAAAGCAGTGCCGATGCCCGAAAAGGAACTAATTAAAAAGGAAAATTTACCAATATTTAGTGAACTTGTAAATAAAATAGATTTTAAGCTCATGGCGGACAAAATTACAACTTAACTAACATTATTTGTTGTGTTTAGATTGTGGTTTTGATATTTCTAATATTTTCATATATATTTTTCACTCTTTATCTTGTTAAAACTAAAAGATCAATTAAATGGTGTTTTATTAAATCTTTTAAATTATTTTATTATTTTATTTGTACCCTATACATAATCGTACATATTACAAATGTGATCACAGAGCATTTTTTTCACACGGTCACAACACTAACACTAATGCCGACACTGCGCTCGGAGGACACATGCCATAAGAAACCAACCAATGCTGGCACTCAGTGTGAGGGATTGAGGGGCAAGGAGGTCCTGAGGCCATCGTCGATTAAGGCGATGTGGCGGATTGTCAGGTGGGAATGTTAGACAGGGCTCAGACAGAAGGGTTAGGATGGATTAAGAAGTTGGTGTGAAACTTAAGGAAGTAGGAACAGATCAGTTCGTTGACAAAATAAATGTTGAGGCTGTTGTGGATAGTGAGGTTAGTGTATCTCATGTATTAAATAGTTTTGACAATTTGTCTGAGGACTTATGAATCGAAGTATTGGATGCACTGGATATTGGATGTCTTGGCAGAACCCCGCAGTTCCACCGTATGTTCAAAGCAGTCTCATTAAAGTCTTGTATGAGGTTAGTTTAGTTTTGACGGTCAAGTCAAATTTTGGTTCTAGAAGTCTTCGTAGTTGTATAAAAATTGTTAAAATTGCAATTCTAAACAACTTATGAAATTACACTTTGCCATAAATTCATTTATTTATAATTAGGTCAAACTATTTGAAACAATTGTATTCACGTACATGTATTAATTTAAGGAACATGTAAAATAAATAAAAACGTTCTGCTATTCTTATGCATATTCTCAAATTTACATTTTAACAGTTACAAAACCAAAACTATAATTTAATATGTTAAGTTGTAGGTAAAATGTCCTTGAAGAAAAGTGTAGTTTATCTTAAAATTTAAATTTAGGTGTTTGATAGAGAAGGTGATGATGGCAAGTTCGTCTCCGTTACTGTAAAAGCTACCGATCAGGGTGACCCATCACTAGAAGGTGTTTGCTCTTTCACAGTGGAAATCACGGATGTGAATGACAACCCTCCACTTTTTGATCGACAGGTATTATTGTGAATAACACTTCAAATATCACTAGGCGTTGAATACTAATTTAAAAAAAATTTAACCCGGACAGAAATATGTAGAAAACGTGAAACAAGATGCCAGCATAGGCACAAACATCCTTCGAGTTTCAGCCTCAGACGAAGACGCCGATAACAATGGCGCAATCGTCTACACACTTTCCGCTCCAGGCAACCCGTTGGATCTGGAGTATTTTGAGATTCAGCCCGAATCTGGGTGGATTGTACTCAAAAAACCTTTGGACGTAAGTACCCAATATATCATCATAAGACACATATTCCAAGGCAAACCATTAATATTCAAGATAGGAGTTGACCCCAATCATCTTCGGTTCATCTATTATGGTAATATTGTACGGAGGTAGTGTTAATGTGTAAATAAAAATATGATTTATAACTGTGCCGAGGCTTCTTCCATCAGAAACAGTTTGCCCCAAAAATTCCTTATGTTTTGTGAATATATCTGGTTTTGATCTTACAAAAATATCTGTAGAAATGATAAAGGTGGGGCGAGTATGTTGTTAAATCTTTTTTAAAAAGATATTTCTTACTCACAGTTCGTTGTTTTCAGCGATCCGGATTTCAAGCTTAAAGTTCATCTTCAAGTTGAAGGAATAACGACCACTTTTCTTGACACTTATTGTAAGACTGAACTCGCCGATCCCCCGCCAACGCGACGTCCAATGAGAAGGTGGTTTTAATGCCGCCCAATTTTGAACGTGCGAAAAACGTGAACTAAATTTATCCTGCTAAATGCTGTAAGAAAATAATTTTAAATTAGTGCACGTCAAATATATTTGAGGTACATGTTTAAAATAGGAGGTAGATCAAAATCTACTATATTATTAATGCATTTATCTCATGTTTAATTTTACATGTTTTAATTTCAATTTTCTCAAACCAGTTTAGTTCCACCCCTTTGCTGAAACGACGTAACGCTGTCGTATTTAAATTTTAATTGAAATTGTGTTTTGTTTAATTTATTTGTTCATTAACTTCAGAAAATTTGTTCGATTTAGGCAAGTCTATGAAATTTTACTCTCATTTTAATTTCTTTGCCGCTTTGTCCTGTATATTTAATATCACAGTAATAAAAATTAAGTTGGTAAACTTGATTTTTGTCAAGTTGTCAACCTTGTCTTTAGGTTTTGAGAGAGGATGTTTCTAAGTGAACAATCATCTTTACTTGGTTATTCAGATATCGTGAGATGCGGTCGACCGCATCTCACGATATCTGAATAACTATCGATTAACGGTCACTAATCTCTACACAAATCATCTTTACTTCCAATTTGTGACTAGGGTGTAAATAATTAATTAGCTGGAGGAATTCTTTTAGATCCTCTAGTGTTCCCGCCCATTTACATAAAATATCATCTACAAAGCATTTTAAAAAAAAGGTAAGATTTAAATAATTTGTTGTTTGGTTTGCAAAGATTTTTTACAAAGTTATATATGAATATTTCAGCACAAAGTGGGGATAATGAAGACCCTATTGGTAACCCTTTCATTTCATAAAATGTATTACTGAATTTACAATAATTAGGTAGTAGACATATATTTAAGAGGTCTATTATATCATTTTTTACAAATTTTTTAATAGAACTCTGTAAGTTTTTGTTTTATTAGTTTTCTTTAAAAGGGTTATTTCTGAATAAAGTAGCAACCCCAAATGACATTAAAACACAGGTTTAGGTATATCTATAACATTTAACTAAAACAGTTAAAAGGAAAGTTAACAGTTGTGCAATTTGAAATTAAAAAAGTAAAATTAAACATGGAGATAAATGCATTAATAATATTACCTTCTATTTTAAATAGGTACTTAATTAATATTTGATGTACAAATTAATTGATTTAAATTTTATTATTTAATTTTATCATTAATTTATTATTAATTTATTTTTGGTATTAATTAATAAATAAAAGATACAAATTAATCGCTAATTTAAAATTATTTATTAAGATAATGTGTGGTATTTAGTGACCATTAATTAATGATTATTTGGAGATCATGGGATGCGGTCTGGTGTGATTAGGTTTAGAAAAACATTTTCTTTATCGTCAACTTTTCGATCTTTTTAAAAAATTGAGATCATCTTCAGGGCCTGGGATTTATAAACATTGTTTAAATTATACAAATACATGTAAGATGTGAAAAAATGAATTTATCTAATGATAGAAATTTTTGTCTCAACAGTACAAACACTTTGAGTGAGTACAAATACTTTGATTTAATCTAAAATTTCTATCATTGTATAAATTCATTTTTTCACATCTTAATGTATTTGTATAATTTAAACAATGTTTATAAATCCTAGGCCCTGAAGATGATTTCAATAAAGATCGAATCGTTGGCACGATAAAGAAAATGTTTTCTAAAACTACGTCACACCAGATCGCACCACGCTCTCCAAATAATTATTAAGATATTTAGTTGTGTTATAATTCCCGCTTTTTCGCACGTTCAAAATTGAGCGGCAAAAAAACCAGCTTCTCATTGGAACGTCGTGTTGGCGGGTGGTCAGCGGGTTCACTGTTGCAAATAAATCGTTAGAAAAGGTAGGTGACTCCTTCAACCTGAGATGAGCTATAAGTTTGACATCCGAAAAGTTGAAAACAACAAACTGAGTAAGAAAAAACAAATTAAAAATTATCTGTAAACACTTTTATTTAAACCTAGTTTGTAGTCATCATTATTGAATTAAATGTAGTTTTTTATACTACATAATCAAGAAAACAATTGCTTTCTTGTTCAATGTGTAAATAAACTGCGCACAAATGAATAGGGATATTTGCAATTTATTCTTATTCTATTAATTTTAATTAAATTAACCAATATAATCGTGTTATGTGGATAAAGCAAAATAGAAAATACAAAAAAAAGTGTTAACCTTCATTTTTAATAACGGATTTACTTAAGAATAGTAAACTTGAAAATTACTCATTTTGTAAACAAACACCTTTTCTCATCTTTTCTCCATTTTAATCCAGTTGTATTCATTTTAACCCTAGAAAGACATCATCTTGAACCAGAAGTTTTTTGAGCAATATTTTTGTGAGAATGAATCATCGGAGTCACTGGCAAGTGGATATTGCTGAGGCTGTTCTTAGTAGCTTCTCAGAGCATGATCTACTAAGCTTTAGTTCGATTTTGAGAGACTGGAAGTGCCAATAGGAGGCCTGGTAGTGGATCTCAGTGCTTTACGACCTTAAGGGAGGACAGATATATTGTCATTGCTGCAATACGGAACCCTTTCCACAGTGTCCACCAGGTCCTAAATGAAATACAAGATGTTTTAGCAAGGCCTTTATCAACACAAATGATTTGTAATCATTTGTGGGAAGTTGGCCTCACATCGTATGCCCCTTGGAGAAGACCTGGCGCAACAGCCCGCAATTAGCAAGTCTGGAGAATATGGTGCAGCGAGCGCCTAGAAGAGAACACCAATTTCCATGCCGATATGTTTACTGATGAGTCACGTTTCTGTCTGTATAGTAATAACAGAAGAAACTGGGACTTACAGATTGAAATGTGACTGATCAGGAAACTTAACAGCTTTCCAATTGTTGTTCTCTTCTAAGCCCTCGCTGCACCATATTCTCCTGAGAGGCTGGTGGCATGCCATTCTTGCAGGGGCATACGATGTCATACCATATAAAAGATTAGGAATCGTTTATGCTGATTGCCTTGCCAAAACATATTTTACTTCATTTAGGATCTGGCGGGCAAGGGTTCGTCTTGCAACAATGACAATCTTCCCTTAGCGTCATAATGTGCTGAGATCCCATTCCTCCAATTGGCACTTCCAGTCTCTTGGAATTGAACTAAAGCCTGGTAGACCATGCTCTGAGAGCGCCAACTGCCTCTGCAATATCCACTTCCCGGTGACCTCGATGGCTCATTCTCACAATAATGTTGCGAACTTCTGGTTCAAGATGATGTCTTTCCATGGTTAAAGAGAATACAACTGGAGAAAAGACAAAATGAGTATTCTTCATGATTACTATTCTTATGTAAATCTGTTATTAAAAATGGAGATAAGCAATTCTTTTGTTTTTGGATTGTATTTTCTATTTTGATTTATTCAACTAACACGGATATATTGGTTAATGTAATTAAAATTAACAGAATAAGCATAAATTACAAATATCCCTATTCATTTTTGCGTAGTTTAGTTTGAAAAGCAAAATATATAAAAACGTTTCTATAAATTGAACATCAAATGCAATTTTTTGGGGTACTATTTTACTTTTATTAATTATTATTAATGATACACTTTTATTAATTACAAGCTGTTAATTTTTAATGTAATTCTTAGTAAAAAGAAAGTTTTGAGTACTATACAGACATAACATTATCTGAGACTTGTGGAATTGGTTGTGGCTTCAGTTTTCAATTGTTTTAGAAAATTTGAGAAAAATGCTTATCCCATTTGGGATGGTGAGCATGATATTGCACTCTTCATACCCCAAGGGAGGATATTGCACTCTATTCTCTTCACTTTCAGATTGATGTTCATAGAACTACTGTTAAGTTATTATCTTTAGTGCTAATGAGCGTGGGAAATGAAAAAAGAAAAGAATAAAAAATAAAAACACTTTTTACCATTTTAATCAACACACTGCTTCTTTGAACTTTAATCTAAAAGTGACTATAGTCTAATACCACACTCGCATACCTCAATAGAGGAAGGTGTGAGCTTGATGGGATGCTCTCAATTCTTCACTGGGGAAAGCAAGAGCGCGATATCATGCTCACCTTCCTCAATGAGTTAAGTAAAATCCCAAAATGGCATAAATAAAATAATTTACTAAGTGTTTCAGGAGTAGTTTTACAACTAATAAAATTTGAGCTACAGTGTTGTTATTCACAATTTATTAATTATATTTCTGTTAATATGTATTGTATGAAAACATCTGTTTGTAAGGTCTACAAGTTAATTATAATAATGTTTTTTCTTATTTTAATTTTGTATAACGTTATTAGCAAATGTATGAGTAATATGTTTGGGCATTAACATGCATCTGAAAAATAAATGAAGCATGTTGTTATGGAAAGCATCCAAAAGAACAGATTATCAATTTTCTTGCGATTCTATGAATGAGAGCTTTGACCACAATTTGCCACAATTTCACAGGTATTCCAACTTTGAAGAAACATACTGATGGAAGAAACACTCGGCCCCATCAGTTAGTGTCTTTGACTAACAGATGGGACATTCCTTGCTTTGTTTTTTCAGTATATAACATTTGATTGAAGCGCACATTTACTTTGCGTTGCTGTGTTTTGAGATTGTTTGTATATTGATTAATAAGTTTGATTTATACGGCACAGTTATATTTAAACTAAGTAATGTTTATTTATTCTTAACAGGTCGTCTAGACCTTTCTTTCACCTGGCCATTATTACTGAGGGTCATTTCATTTTTTTCTGTCTAATGCACTATAACTGCACTTTTACTTTGTTAATTCCTAAGATACGTATATCTTTCCTTGAAGAAAAAAGTTTAAAAAGTGCTTTTTGTGCATTTTAAAAAAAATAATTTTGTGGAGATTTTTTTGTGCTTTTTTGTATTTTTGTGCCATCTACAGAAAATGTGTACTGAATTTATTTTTGATTTTTTAAGTACACACATATACATTTTTTAAAGTGTCTTTGCTTTACTTTTTTCAAAAAAAGAAAAAAAAAAAACAAACAGAAACAACTTTTTGGCAAAGCACTGACACGATTTATGAATTTTTGTTGTACAATGATTTTTTAAGATTACTTGTTATGTGGTGGAACAGACTAAAAGATTTTTTCTTGCCTGCCCTGGAATTTTGACAGGAAGATGGTTGTGGTGTTTTATGGGTTGGCCGTCCTTGTGTAAGTCAGGGATGAATTCAGTTCATAGAAACTAAAATTTTGAACCTTTATATTACAATTTTGAACCTATTAACACCGAATAAAAACCTAACTCTGGCCTGCTGCCTGCTCAGATATTAACTAATAAGAAAAGAGGATAAGAGGACGGAAGTGACATTTTTTCTTGTGAATGCGATGGGTCATATATGCAAGTTTTGGACCCAATTCCGTGATTTTTTGTCGGTCGTGAGCGGGATTATTTTTATTTTTTAATTTTTACTTTTTGAACAAACAGTGTAACAGATTATAAAAACCTTATCCTATAATCCATCAATCTAACAATCCTTTAACTTTCCACCTTCTTGATTTCATTTTAATTTTATTTATGGCCGATGCATTTTAATTTACTGCATGGATCTTTGCTTGCTTTTATTTTTATCCCTCATCCTGTGATTTTAGTTGTTATTATTTTCAAACTATTATCACAGTTTTCCCTTTTTTTTGTTAAAAAATTTTTTCCTTTCACTTCTGGTTTTTATTTTAATTATTTTAATATTGTTAAGTTTATTTAATTGCACAATTTCTGTTTGATTGCTGAATATCTCATCGCTGTAAAGGGATGCCTGCCTGTAAGTAAAAAGAAATTAATTCCATGTATTTGTTTTGGTTGTAGCCAAAAGAACCAAACCAAAAAAGAAATCTGACCAGCTTAACACTAACAGCTTAAATTAATGTAGCAATAACCCTTAATATTTTTCTCCTTTATTATGACAATACTGCCAAAATTCATAGCATAGCTCATTATGTTTAATGGGCCTTTTTAATGTCTTTATTTAAACCTTTCAAAGTCCATCAGGAATTGAAAAATTGCCCTCGTTGTAAACTATTTGTGTAGATTATTTTTATTAATTTTTTGTTGTTTTAATTTGTGATTAAATTTGTTTTCTTTATTGCAATAATTGGAAAGTTAGTGGTTTAATTGTAAACAAAATATTAGTCATTATCATTTTACAATTCCAAATTAGTTTGGTCTAGAGTATTGCTATTGATACAAAATTTTGTTCCTTACTTCACCAATTTGTGATATTTTTTTATTCATATGTAAGTTTAATTAACCATAAAACATAAGTTTATAAATACATGGACAAATAATCCTTTTGATTTGGGAGGAAAAACCCAATGTTTAAATCAGCATTTTAAAAGAAATCATTAAAAAATTGAACATATTTATTTAGGGTAGCTTTAAGACTCCTTACCCTAACACTATAGTTGGCACAATAGACAATACCTTAAACTTTGTTTTGTTAATAAATGTTGTAACTAATTGTTACTATGTCGTATTTTATAAACAAATATGGGCATGCTATAACCATGTCTAAACTCCTGATGTTATTTGTATGGACTCTTAGGCTATCCTGCAAAGTACAGATATATTACTTTTTTTAAATAATGAAAACATGCTTTCTTTAGGGAACTATGCACTACTCTAATCAAAATATTTGGCTGTAATTATTCAAAACTATATACTACATGTTTATTATTCTTTCATTTCTATAAATCTATCGTAAAATAAAACTTTTATACATTATCAATTACATTTAAAATGATTTGTAAATAATTTAACATGTTTAATTTATTGTAGTCCTTTATATACTGGAAATATTCATTGATGAATTATGAAATGAGCTATGCTATAAGTTATTTTATTTATATTTAATGGGATTTTGTCAAATCATTTATTTTTTATTTGGGGACCTTGTTTTGTAAAAAATTTTAATAGGATTTATGATTGTTAAAATTATTTTGTCAAAATATGGAGTGGTGAGTTTTATTTCAGTTTTTCTTTTTATTTCTTCTTTTTGTTTTTCGGTTGGAGAAAAAAGAAATATTGTGTCTTTTGTAGCGTGAGAGATATCGTCTGAGGGTGAAGGCATCTGACAAAGGGGACCCTCCGACATACGCGGATGTTGACGTCGAGTTGGATGTAGTAGATAGAAACAATAAGCCACCTCTCTGGGACAAATCAATATATGGCCCGATACGCATTAAGGAGAATGTCACTGTCGGATCATTAGTCGCAGAGGTCAAAGCAAGGTTTGTATCCAAAATAAAAAAACAACAATACAAACCATAGCAAAAAGTTAAAAAAAATTCAAAAAAAAGAAAGAAAAAGAAATATAAAAAAACAGCTCGACCACCCAAATAAAACTACGACCACAGGGCAAAGAACTATATCTGTTGAACGATTCCTCTACTCCCTCCTAACTGAAATCCTAAACTGGAGGGATTAATGAAACATTTTGATGTGGTTTCGTGTTGAAATGGTTAAAATTATGGAAAGGACTTCGTGCCTGAGTGCACCCGATTGACTGAAAGAAGATCCCAGACACCTTGCATTTTGATGAGCAAATATTTAGACTATAATTTTTTGTTTATGTTTGATTTTTGGAGGGTTTGAAGTGAAAGACAATTTTCAGCTTTATAGGTTTTAAAAGTTTATTAAAACAATAATCGTATTAGGAAAATATTACTGGAGAATTAAACGTACGTTACCCAATATGGTTTATATATGATAGTGTGATCCTGGACCACAAGGTTTCTTTCATTGTAAAAGAAGTCTCCTACAAAATAAATTTTGTTTAGATGTTTTCTCATTGATATTAGCATGTCAATATATTTAACAAAATCACCATTGTACCAATTAGTTTACAAGAGCATCCTATTTAGGTTTAATTGAAAGATTAACTTTAATAGTGCATGATTTAGTTGTTACAGTTTTTCAAAGTTGAGGAATGGCTTTCCACATAATGGTAAGACTTTTTTCAAAGTATTAAACCCTGATAACAGAATATTTATTTTGAAAACTGTTTAATAGTAATATTTAATTTAATTTAATATTGTTAGAATCTTAATGAAAACAAATTTTCCTTGAAAATGAGGTTTGGGATTTAATTAGACCTACATTTTTTATAGGAAAATAGATATTTTTTAAAACTTCATGCCCCCTCCTCTTGAAATGCATTTCGGAGTTTAGTACCATCAAGTCAAGGATCTTCCCCAGTGGGATTATCATGACCATTATAGTTATAGTAATGTAACGAATCATTTTTATTTTATTTTATTCCTAATAGCCATATATTTGAACCACCTCAAAATGACCTGAAATCTCTCCAGAAATTCATCCTTTCAATACCGTCCCTACTTTAAATCTATCTGGTCTGTTTCTCTTCACCACCAGATTATTTTCTGGTGGGCACACTTACCTATCCGGCCCCACTTCTTGTCTGTTCTCTCCAGCGTGAGACGTACAAACTGGAAGCTAAGGCACAGGACAAGGGCTTCCCTTCACTCTCGAGATCGGTAGAAGTGCAGATTGATGTCGTTGATCGAGCCAACAACCCACCTGTCTGGGACCACGTTGTCTACGGGCCTATCTACATTAAAGAGAACATGAACGTCGGAGCAAAAGTCGTGTCTGTTAAAGCCAGGTGTCGTACAACAACAAAACGATTTTTTCCTCCCTCCCTCCCATGGATAAGGGGAAATTTTTGTTTTTGCCTTTTTTTGAATGTAATTTTTGTGTGCACGTGTAAATTTTTCAATTGATTTTTTAAGAAAATTATTATTTTAGTTTTGCACGCTGTATTGCAATATTTTATTTTCATATAATTTTTTCTGTGTATCCTCCACTGTGTACACTTTTTTGAAACATAGTCTGGGTGATCTGCCTAAACTGCGCTATGATTTTTTAACAATTTTCATCGTAATAAATCATTATTTTTAATATAAAGTTGATAAATACAACTTCATAATTTTGCACAAAAATGGTACTGGGCACCTAGGTGCACACTTCAACACCTTTTCACATACCTATTTGGTTCAGTGAGATAATTAAATTTTAGTTAAAATCTTTTTTATTTTATTAACTGCGCAGGATTTTTTGTTTTGTTAATTTTTTTAGGCATGATCTCTAGACAAGATTTTTCATAACTCCTGCTAAACAAATAAAAAATTGTTGATAAAAACTACTAATAGACACGCAAATTTGTGGTTGTACATCCTTTGGCAATTCGCACGAACAGTGTGGTTCATCGTTTTCCTGTAATGGTTTTATTAGAGACAACAATGAAACAAAACAAAATTTTCTTTGCCTGCAATTTCACTGTTCCTAACCAACCTGATGCCCACAACTGCAAACTCTCACGCTTCCTACAAGTCCAAAAAGTTCTCTGCGAGTCAATCATATCAATTGGAGAATAATATGTTGGTGATGGAGGCACAAATTGCACCTTACTGGGTCACATTGGGTGTGTTGTACAAATTTGTAAATAATTAATTCAAAAAGTCATGTCTCCAATTTTTATCGTGCTGTTCGTTCTAATTTTTATTTTTACAGAAATAATTTATTTCTTTAGCTGGGGGAAATTTAATGAGGTGACTAAAAAGGTGTATTTTTTTCAAATAATTTTTATTTTTGATACATTCAAGGACATTATAAAATTTAATTTTGATTTTATTTTCGTTTTAATGTGGCATGTAATTTAATCGATGTAGAGAAGTAATGATACATTGTGATACTTTTAAATTATATTTTGTTGGAAAAATAAATTAATTTCTTTAGATGCATGAAAAGTACTAATGAAAAGAGATTTATTTGTTTGGTAATTTTACAAATGAACAATGATAAATTGAAGAAATTCTGTTAGAAATAGTATAGAAAATTCAAAATTTTATTTGTGTAAAAGTTAACTTTTTTAAAAGTTTCATAGAAACGTTTTGTGACATTGCATGATTGCTTAGCTATAACTGTCTATAGACAATTTTTTAAATTCTTTATTGATTCATTGAATATAATATCTAAATTATGACACATAATATTTTAACATATTTTTAATAGTTAAAACTATGTTGAAATAATGTTTGAGTTAATGTCATAATTTAGTTATTTGTGATAAAGTGATAATATAATTTTATAGTAAATTTTAATATTAATTTTGGTCATGTACTCATGCTTTTTTATTTGGGTGGGGGTTTAGCTCGGGAATTGAGAATAACCCTACAGTGTACTACAGACTCATGCCAGGTTCGACTGCTCAGACAAATAAATTCCACACATTTTACCTACAGCAGCGCAATGACAATGGTTTTACTTGGGCAGACATTAAAGTCAACCATCCATTAGATTATGAAACGATTAAAGAATACAACCTCACGATCCGAGTGGAGGTTTGTGTACTGATATGCATGCAACATGTACAATGATATATTAACGTTACAAATAATTGCAGAACAATGGTGCCCAACAACTGGCATCAGAAGCTACGGTTTTCATCATGCTCGAGGATGTTAATGATGAAATTCCTCTATTTACTGAGCGAGAACAAGAGACAGTACTAGAAGGTGAACCAATCGGCACTAAAGTCACCCAAGTGAATGCAATGGACAAAGATGGAACATTTCCTAACAACCAGGTTGGAAATGATTAACAAATATTTTTGTTTTACAAAATTATGGTATCTATGACAACATTGCCCAAGAATAGCATCTACTGTGGCCTTTTCTTAGCTATTCTATGTGTAGGTACTTCTGTCGTATTTGTCACATCTAGTCACAATTGACAATGGTCATCTGTTGATTGTCTCATTTTTTTTACAAATGGTATTTTACTGAAGCATGTCCAGTAAATATACTTGTTTGAGATTTAGGATTTCCTCTTTTTTCATTGGGTTGATTTTGCAAGTAATCGTTTTGCTAGCCTCATGCATAGCATACATTTCCAGTATCTGTTAGTGGGTTTGGGCCTAGGCATTGTTCTGATGCTATTTTATTTATTTATTTTATTTTATGTTTTAACAAGTATATCTGCTACCTCATTACCTCAAATTCCCACATGACCGGGACCCACTTTAGCGTTATTCAGTTTGAAGATCCAAGTATTTTTGGGGTATTTAAACAGTTCCAAACTAACTTTGAATTGATCTTGTGGCCCTGGAGAACCTTTAGATTTGCCTGGTTGTTTGAAAGAATTAGTTATCATTATTTTTTTAAATTTTTTTATTTATTACTACCTGTATTAATAAATAAAAAATTAAAAAAAAAGCAATAAATAATGAATATCTCAAGGGTGCAGCAATAATAATTCTTTGATTGTTGTTTGATTGATTGTTATTTATTTCATGTGTTGTTTCAAAGCTAGTAATTTGACTTGAAAGGTGGTGTGGTGGAGCCAAGGGCTATGCGAGCTCGTAATTAGGCACCTTTATGCCCATACCCATACCACTTCTCCTCTGTTGTACCATACAAGAGCTCCAGGTTGTTCTACTTATCATTTTGCTCTCTTTTTAATAATTATCCTAAATGGTTTTTCAAAATTTGAGAGGTTTCTGTGATGGCAGAGATAGTTTTAGCCATGCCAGTTATACATGATGGTTAAGTATAATGCTAAAATAAAAAAAAAGTTTAAAAATGTATAGGAGCCATAAATAGTGTTTATAACATTCGTATAAATGTTTATATGACTAATTGTGTTATGGCAGTATAACATTTTGTCTTTTGACTTGTTATTTGTTTTATATTTCCGTATCAGTTTTATCAATTTCTTTATTGAAGTTGTTTAAAATTAATTGATTTATTGGTTTAGAATTGTCAATTACTCCGCTCAAGTAAATTTGATAACATTTTAAAACACAAAATAAACGTGAAAAATATAATTAAAAATACAAATATATAAATATAAATATAATAAGTGCAGATAAATATGTATGTATTAACATACCACAAGTAACAAGTAAAATACCACAAGCATGTAATGTAGCTGTGAGGAGGAACCAATGCTACCGAGGAAACTCTCATGAACGTTTTGTTGAACCCCAATGGGCAATGCCTTATGTCCAAGTGGGTCTCAAAATACTAGTACAAATGAGTCGTTTGTTTTGAAGAGTCAGTTTGGATCTTCATCGTCTGTGGGAGTGTTGACTCAATTATTTATTGGAGTGCTGCAATATTGTTAACATTATGAGCCTCAAGAAATAGTTTTGTATTGTCTGTATGCTTTGAATGTTCGTATTACTTACACCAGGCCTGGCAGGCATATAAAAGCTTTTACAAAAATTTTGTTTATAATATTAATTTTGAGGCTCAAACCTGATTTGCTATGGAAAAGTGGAAACAAAACTTTTTATGGCACGCTTCCGTTTTTCAATAAGCTTGCAGTTGTTTACTCTGAAGTTCGAGGTGATTACTGAGTCATTCTTCTAATTTATTTCTAAAGAGAGGGTTTCATATAGTAAAAATATGTATTAAGCCTGAGCTTCTATCTAAGACAGAATTTTGTAATCTTGTGGAGATTGCGGTTAGCAACCCTCCATGATGAGCAATATAAATCTAAGGTTTCAGCGTACATCGCAATTTTGCAGAAAAGTTTAGGCTGTGCATTAATAAAAATCCATTTACTTTTATCTCAATAGACCATAATAGGAATTATGCTGGATTAATTGAAATTAATAAAAATGTAACTTGTGATGACTATTGAATATAATTGTGGTGTTTGTGTCAGTGGTGATGGGAATATCGGTCAATGGTTGTTTTGGAAAGAAAACGACTTCGAATCTTTGCTGACATTTCGATTTAATTCAAATCTTTATCAAGGCATCCTGTACATATATAGTATATTATTACATTATTATTTATTATTACAGAATTACATATATATTATATACAAGAATGCAAAAAAGCTGAACTTACCACTTGATCTCTAGTGTTATGTTATGGTATGTGTACAGGATGCCTTGATAAAGATTTGAATTAAAACGAAACGTCGGCAAAGATTCGAAGTCGTTTTCTTTCCAAAACAACCATTGACCAATTCCCATCACCACCGTACGAACACCACAATTAATACAAATGTTAAAAATAATTGGCCCTAAGACTGAACCTTTTTTTACGACGGTTCGCAACAGCAGAGGTCATATAAACCCTCAGGGTGCCGGTGTTTTTGAAAAAAAAAGCCCATTTGTATGTCGGGTTCGAATGCAGGGCCGCTGGATTCGAACCAGGGACCTTTATCTTACAGTGATGAGCGCCGTGTCAATGCCTAAACCGTTGAGCTCAGCTTTAATTGTGAAAGGTTGTGAGACAGCGTTATTTTTGACAACTCTGAATGTTTCATTACTTAGATAACTGCATTATTTTCGTAATGCATGCAAGTTGGAAATTCATTTCATATAAATGTGTATTCTTTAACGTTAGTAGTCAAACCAGTGTTTGTTTTGTAGTTACTTCGTACCTGTTCCGTTTTTTAGTCACGTAATGATTTATAGTATTTATTGAACTTTTCACGTAGTCCATTATTTAACTGTTGGTTTTCATTTAAAACAAAGTGCTGGATAAGGTGCTGTGGATAGTGACAAGAGAAAGCCACACCTGTTGTTAATTAGTCGTCAGTTCACACGGACCTTCCAACCGCACGAGCAAAGCAGGCCACTTTTGATAGCGCTTTTCTCAAGGACAAAGGACCTTTAAAGTGGTGGTCAAAGGTCCTTTTAACTATTGATGTCCGCTTTGTTAGGGCGGAATAATTGAACAAAATTGAACATGCAACCCTTTGTTTTTATAATTTTTTCTTACGGCTATTATTTTGGGACTAAACGAAATAGAACATGACATTTTATGCTTGTTTTGACTCAAATTCGTTAAAAATGTGTATTTTACTTTTCCCCGTGAGAGTGGGGTGTGAACCGCTAAGAAGATTAGACCGGATTCGTTGTGAAATTTTTCGGGCATAAACATTTAATTAAGGGATACGAAACTTGGGTTACTTCCTTTCTAAAAGAGGAAAATCGCTGACGAAACTTAGTTGGCCACTTAACAAAGAGTTTTGCTGGTAATCATTACAGTCCCAGCGGTTTTACGCGATGAACAACCCTTTACACGTGTTGGTTTGCTTTGAAAGGGAAAAAGATGAGAGGTTCCTCGTTAATCACTCGCGAAGGGTTGGAAGTTGAACCGGCTTCGTTCTGTGTATCTTTGCTCGGCCCATTAACTTGAAATCCGGCCCTTTCTTTGACCAAATTCTATTGTTCCAAGTTTGAAACTTTTCCACTAACCTTTTCTACTTATAATGAACAGTGAATTAAAACACCTGGACGGGCATTTTAAGAAGTTCTGATGTTCAATGTAGAGTTATAAACGTATTTCAAGGATTCCGTTTGCGTTTTGCCATCGTCGTGGATTGTACGCTGAACTATTGACGTTATTCAATTCTTCAACTGACTACTGCAGGCCAGGTTTTCAAGTACTCGTGTCAATTATCTTGACTTATAGTTTTCTCACACCTTTCCTGTTAGTTGCGTATTGGGTTTTCCTATTCCATAACTGAAAGGCAGGCCAAAATAATAGAAAAGGACCGTACTACAAATTCATTCATATCACAAACCTCAAGAGGAAATCTTACAATTTATTTTGACTTAAATTTTTCCTTTTCTGGCATTATTTTCATAATGGGGGTTGGGCCACTGTGTAGAGGGGAGTTGACCTGCAGTGGCCCATATTGGCGAAGGTTGGAAATGATGTTGGGGAACATTGACTTTGGGAGCGGTTTGACTAAACGAATCAAAGGAGGCCAATTTGCGCGAAAAATATGCGCAGTAAATTGGTGTCGGGTCCCCAAATTGTGCCAACGTGGTCGACCATTGTTTGTTGTTTCCAGCCAGGTTTCTGTCAATTACATGTAAATAGCAATTATATACCTTAGCCAAACACAAAGCAGCAGCGATTTACTTCACCTAGGCATCCATCACGGCACAGGAAAACTAAGCTACTATGGCCACTGAGGCCATATTGGCCCAATCTTGTTGGCCTATGTATTAGCTCATGTAATAGCTGTGTGTGGAGCTAAGTCCATGGTCAGCGTGGCATAGTGCCCAATGCATTGGCTTGTTTTGGCCCATAGTGTAGAAGAGCTAAGTTTTTATCCGCAGCCATCGAGGACATTAGGTTCCCCCATGCTACTCGGTCGTCCTTACAAGGACAAGGACGCACCTAGTCTTTCCGGCCTTATCGGACGTTTTGATTCTCAAAATGAGAGCTGACGCACCTCCGCATACGACAGATGAGTGTTACAGCCGCAGCATTGGTGTAGAGGCTGTCCCGGCCTCGAGGGGCCAAGGCAGCCCTCGCTCCCCGCTTGCCCATTCCGAGTGGTCTGGCATGCATTCAGCATCGGACCGTATGCCGCGCGCAAAGGGCTACCTAGTCCGAAATACTTCAGCCTGGTTTCCCGCGCACTCCCTAGATAGAGAAGGCCACTCTATCTCCTAGAGTATTGGGGCTTCCCAAGCGTAGAAACTACCGGATCCGCTCCGGCCGCGGTTTTGTTTAAAGTGGAATTGATAACCACCCACTAGAGTGGGGCGGTAAAATCCGCCAAACGAGCTCAGCCTACACCTGCGTGCAAAGCACACTCGAATAGCAGCAACCGATTCACTACCCGCTCCCATCCAATCGCCACTACTCACGCATTCGAGGGACTTTCCAGCATAATCATCGCGTCCTCAACGCCTATACGTCATAGCAAGTTCGTGCGAAGGGCACAGATCGGGGACAGTCCGTTGTTAGGAAAAGAGATTACGATCCTGTTTATTAGAGTGCCGGGATTTCCTACCTGGCTAGTCTTAGGGGCCGTGTACTGGCTTAATAATATTAATAATAATAACATGGTTTAAAAATAGATTAATTTTTAATTTTTTGCTTCCTGCAAAAACAAAAATTCTTGTGCGCTGTTTAATTTTTCGTGTTCTTGTAAATCAAACCTGCTGAAATGTAGACATAAAAATAAACAAATAAAATAATATAATTGAGGAAGATACGAAAGATATTCGGGCATGGAAGCGTAAATGATAATCAACTGCATGATCTCTGTTTGTAAACACTTTTATTCATGTTTTATTTGATGAACATGTATAAGCTGGTATGTATAAGAAATACGAGCAAGACAACTGAAATAATGGAACGATTTATTTTTACCCATGTTTCCGTGGTAAAGGTAGCCCGTATGAGACCAAACATTGTATATTTCAGAATGACAGCTGTAGTGGGGTATTGTTTATAAATTTGTAACGATATTTCATTATTTAGCAGCATCTCTGATGCTTTTAAGGTAAGGATCCACATGTGCGATAAGAAAGTGCTTTTTATTATTGCGAGTGCTTTCTACGAGGCTTACTGTTTTTCAGACAAAACTAAAGAAAAGTCTAAATGACATTCGAAGTTTTTCTATATACAAACATTTAACGACTAATTGAATAAATTTACAAAAATATTTATAAATTTACATCCATAATAACAGCAAATATGAAATAAATGAAGATACATTGTAGAGAATCGCAGCACTAATTTATTTTATTTTCAATATTATTTCGTTATATAGCATTTTTCAGTCAAATGAAACTTTATTTCAACCAAATGAAACTTTTTTCAATCAAATAAAACTTTTTTCAATCAAATGAAACCATTTTTCAAGCAAACGAAACCTAAAACCTAATGATAATAATTATGTAGAGGAATAAATAAATGTCATTATAGTACTAACAATAATTTTTATGATGATTGAATACGAGTGTATAGTGTTTGAAAGTGAATATTACAATAATTGAATCACCCCAATCTAGATTAGTTTGAGTATAGGTCGGTGGAGGATTATCAAGTACTCCACCGACCAAACGGAATGAGTGTATTGTATGGATGTGTATGAATGTATTTATTTGTATGAATGTAGTGTTTGAAAGTGAAAATAGAATATAGACTTAGTTGGGGGCTGAAATGACCTAGATGTCGGAAGCCCCAGTCAGAAAAAAAGGCCCCAAAAAAAATCATAAGGCTTAGGTACAAGAATGTTTCTTGTGAAGATCCGTATTCATCAAACTTTTCTACATCCACCCCGTCGAAGTTTAATTAAGTGGGATAGAAAATTGTTTTTGAGCGAGCAACAACTTTCTGTGAAAGAAATTATGAATGATGGAATGGGTGTGGAGTTCAATCTTTTTTAAAAAGATGGTTCCTACTCACAGTAAGTTGTTTCACAACAATCCGGATTTCGAGCCCTTTAGCTCATCATCAGGTTGAATGGTTTCTACAAACACGTCTCTCGACATGAATTGCAAAAGAGAACCCGCTGATACCCCCGCCAACGCGACTTTCCAATGAGAAGCTGGTTTTTTAATGGCGCTCAATTTAAACGTGCGAAAAGCGGGAATTATAACACAAATAACTATTATAATTCCATCCTTGTTAATTTCTAATGTAAAATTTATATTACGGTGTTGAGAATTAATTAGCTGGAGGAATTCTTTGAGATCCTCTAAAAAACAGTAGAGGGCAAACGCATAATATCTCAATACCGACAATACCGACAATATGCATAAAATATCGTCTACATAGAGTTTCCAAAAATGAGCAGATTTAATTAATTTGAAAAGGTTTTTTTCGAAATTATCCATGAATATTTCGGCACAAAGTGGGGATAATGGAGACCCCATTGGTAACCCTTTCATTTCGTAAAATTTATTATTATTAATTTATTATTTATTATTAATAACTCACCGATGCTGAACCCAGCTGAACACGCCTTTTCAAAATTAAAAACAAGTGCGAGAAGGATGTTAAGCGATTCTACCAACATCAACAATTATCTTCCAGAGATCATCAACGGCAGTGTCAACACAATTACAAGTACTGACTGTACCAATTACGTTTTAGACTTATGTTAAAACTACCGGCAGCTGCCGCAGGAAGACCTCTGCATTAATACATATATATATATTCCTATATTGAATTTGTTGAATTTGAATTACAAAACTTTAAATACATTTTTGAGGCAATAAAAATGTATGCATAAATTACTAACATTTGAATTACTTGTGCCTTTTTATAAAACACCCTAATGTTTGGATTTCATTTTCTTGAAGTAACGTTTCATTTGCTTGAAAAAAGGTTTCATTTGCTTGGAAAAAGGTTTCATTTGATTGAAAAAAAGTTTCATTTGGTTGAAAAAAAGGTTTCATTTGCTTGGAAAAAGGTTTCATTTGATAGAAAAAAAAAGTTTCGTTTGACTTGAAAAAAATGCTATATATTAAGAAATTTTACTTGAGAATAGCGATAATTTCGATGTAATTATAAGAACAGGTATGTTCATAAATTCAAATTCAAAAATTGAAAATTTATCTTTTTTTAAACCTTGTTATTATTATTATTATTATTATTATTAATTTTTAAGGGCGTTTTAAGGCTAAGGTCATTTCACGCTCTAACATCCAAACCTTCTATCTTAGGCTATCATAAAATTCTCATTTCAATCCCATTTATTAAGTAATACCTCTTTCCTCTTATTTCCTGATGGAAAAGAGTTTAATTTAAAAAACAAAGATCGAATCGTAGAAAGCAATCATATCTGAATACTGCAAAACAATAATACATAAAATAAAAAGGAAGGAACTGAGTTCTGTATAAACTTATTTTTATTTGTTTGCAGTTTGATCTGTGATCATTCTAGTCTGCCAATTCACGTTGTATCTTTTGGTTAGATTCATATTGACATTTTGCTTCCTTTTCTGCCGTGTATTTTTGTGCCTTTTCTCATACAAGAAAAAAATAAAAAGCTAGCCATGCTGTCGCGTAGATTTTCATGGTCCGCTTATTCTAGGTGTGTTTCAGTCAGATGGCTTGCGACATTTCTAAGTCAATTAGTAGGTAGAAATCATAATTTCTTTGATTTGAATATCGCCGGATACTATGCGAGAATAAGTTATCCAGGACAAATATAAAATTCTAAATTATATAATTTTCAGATACTGGTCGCTATTGTATATCTGTTATAACACTCGTGTCGTTTTACTTTCCAGGTATATTATTTTATTGTCGACTCGCCGAGAAACGAGGGAAAAGACTTTTTCGAAATAAACCAACAATCCGGAGAGGTCTTTACGAAGGTGGTGTTCGATCGCGAAAAGCAGGGAGCGTACGCATTGGAAGTGGAAGCAAGAGACGGCGCACCATCAGCCAGACCGAACTCCGGCCAGGAACCAAATTCAGGTGAGTTTTATTACACTAATTAAAATTAAATGTGTAGACTGTTTCGTATATAAGCTACAATACAACTATAGGTCAAGTTTGTTCATTATTGCACCCATTGTTTTTAAAATACAGTTATTGTTGTTCTAGAATCAAAATATATTGTTTAATGAGAATTAGTTAAACATAAAAACGACCTTACATAAAATTTTGGAGAATTTTTCTTCGTGTGGTTATTATCCAGAAATAATTGTGATAATTTTAGCTTTTCTTTGACTTCTTTGTGTATGGTTTATTATAACAATTTTCAAATAGATATTTTGTGATCAAATATTGTAGTTTAGTCGAGTTATTTTAGAATTGAGTCATTCTGAGAATTTTCTGATTTAAGTAATTTACTATATTTCATCCCCTGTGTTGGTTGTCACCTCCTCATTTTCTACCAGGCCTTAACTCACGTTCTCTAGTGAATTTGAGCTTGATGACGATAATGAATATAAGGAATTACATCAACATATTCTGAAATGTTTGCTGAATAAATATTGCTCTGTTAGGTCGTGAATGGAATATTATACAATGATTGATTCTATGACATGGCTTCATTTGTAGAGTCAAATAAATACCCTCATAGCTCTAAATATTCAATGTATACCCTAGCAAAATTGGGAAATGAATAAATTTGTAATTTACAAAATGCAAATCACAATTACATTTATACTTTCAAATTACCTCAACGTACTTCGATGTGGAGAATCGGTTATACGAGGGGAGGAAATCGATGGCAATGGTACGTTAAACGATTCACATACAGGGGAGTGGAGGTAATCTTGTCTAACGGTTAGAAGTGTATTTGTCAGAATGTATTTTTTAAATAAATACAAAATAGAACAGCCCTTTCTTTCTAGAAAGTATAAAAACGCGTACATCTCATTTCAGAACGTTTGTATGATAAGTGGTAATTTTTGTTATTTCACTTGAATACATTTGGTGTGCTTTTGTTTTTTATATTGGAATATCAATTCTATAAGAAATCCTGCCAATTTCATTCCAGTCTTGAGCCATATTTGGCTTTTCAAATCTTTTCTCGTAAAGTCATTGAACCGCTTTGAAAAAGTAAGAATGTTGGCGAGATTCTTTTTGAAGTCTTGGCAATGTAATTTGGTGGTTTCTGGTTTATCCTCGCCGTTTTGTTCTGTCAGATGCGTTTTTGCAGAGCCCTGCTTATAACGCTGGCCAACCATTGAGAAAGGTGCGTCGGTGAATCGCGTCTGACAGGCCAAAGCAGCAAAGATTGTCGGAAACGACAAAATTTCTGAAATATTTGTGCTTTTTGAAAGATACCAAAGTAATTGAAGAAATTAATAACTTAGAAGCACAAAAGATCTACATTCAACTGTTTGCACTTAATTAGGAATTTTGAAAATAAAATTTAATAAAATATACAGAAAACTTTTGAAAATAAAATTTAATAAAATATACAGAAAACATTAATAAATATTTATGTTGTTGACATTAGGAGAAAAGAAGGAATACAACTGTTGTTAAAAACAAAATAAAAGATCATTTTGTTGATTTCGGTTCGCTCACTGATCGATTGATAGAGTGGCATGGAGTTAATTGATTCTGAAAATCGGTTACTTTCAAGATTATTAAAATTTTATTCCCTTACCCAATAAAATTAGCACTGGCACGTTCTTGACTCTACAAAACAATCAAGGAAGCTTTCCAATCGTAGAAAATGATTGAGTTGTCAATGTCCTCCGACTTTTTGAAAACTTCAAAAATAAAAAGTGCGACACTTTTGATTGACAATTTAATGAAATCAGAAATATTATTATTTTCCTTGCCATGAAACAAGCTATCGTTAGGAATATGATTTTGATTGTATTTTTCCTTATTTAGCAGTATTATAGAAAAATTATTTTTAAATGAAATAAATTGTAATATAACTTATTTTTATGTTGTTTGGTCTTCTCCATTCTGGCTTTTGTTATCTCCAGTAGTACGGTACAACAAATGCCTTTCCGTGCTTAAATCCCTGATGTCACCTTCCACACAACAGCACAATTATCAACAGTTTGTTAGTCCAAATAGCAGAGAATCGAATGTTTTTGCACTAAACTATGGTTTTGACTTTTTTTTGTAATTCTATCCTTGATTTTTTGTTTTTGCCAAGAGTTAAGAACAAAAATCTGATATGTATATATTTAACGCTTCATTATTCAGCGTCATAATAGATGATTAATCTTAAATCACGTAACATGCAATACAACTTCATGTTTTACTCTTTTTTGTTCTTTTTCGGTTGTTGTTACATGATTCTTAATTTTATATGGGCATCTTTAGAAATTATGTACAACCAAATTATAATTTTAGTTATAAATTTCGGTGGCATCTCCACCCAATCTTTAATCTCATGGCTATAAATATTTATTCGAATATTTTGAATAATTTTATTAAGTTTCGTGGTCCGCTTGACCAAATAAATTCTTTTCAATTAATTAAAGTTTTGGTTGAGATAAAAAAGTCAGTGTCACTAGCAGGATTCGAACCCACGATCTTCGGCTAGAAACGCCGCTACTTTACTACTTGAACTATCGTGTCTTCGATCCGCTCGGACACTTAACTTCCCATCTCAACCCCACCTTTTGAATTTTCCCTCCTTTTTGCCATTTTTCAAATGTCGTGTAATCTATTTGATTCTCGGCGACAAATGAAATGGCCACGGTGAGCTTTAGTGAAGTATATTTCATTTTTGCTTATTACATTTTATTAGGTTTCGTCGTCCGCTTGACCAAATAAATTCTTTTCCATTAATTAAGGTTTTGGCTGAGATAAAAAAAGTCACGACAGCTTAAGTGGTAGAGCAGCGGCTTATTTAGCCGAAGGTCGTGGGCTCGAATCCCGCTTGTGACACTGACTTTTTTATCTCAGCCAAAACCTTAATTAATTGAAAAGAATTTTGAATAATGCTTATTTACTTATTTTCATATTTTTTCTAGTTTTACTTATAGCAATGTTCCTGAAGTTGATTTTTACTGAAAATTAATACATGGTAATAAATAATTCATGAGGTTGAACATATGTTAATGTGCTTTGGTCATTTTCAATCATCCTAGTCATCGTCGTTGGTTTGGTTAGTTAGTAGATGTGTTTCGCCATCTCCAGTGGTGGGTGCTACGGCCTGCTTATAACCTGGCCAACTTTACCTGTACCTTAGATTATATATATCTATCGTTCGATAATTTGTCATCTCATCATACTATATATGTAAATATTTGTCACTAAGACAGGAAATTAGGTTAGTCATGAAAAACGACGTGATCACAGTTTTTTTTCAGGTTAGGCAAAAATGACCCTATTTACTAAATATCGTTAATATTTAATAAAACCTTTCATACAGTTAGAAACTTAATATACAAACGTAAAGTAGTGATAATCAAGAAGGTAATAAATATTCATTATACGATTTGCCGCTAGAAATAAACTGACTAATGAAAACTAACAATAATGAGCACTGTAAAAATATTTCACCTATAGGAGACTAGGCCCATTTTGCGAAATATATCTTCCATTCGAGGATCCTTGCTGTAAAATACGATTTAAAGAGGCAGGATATATAGTATGTTCGTACCTCGCGGTGATAATTTCAAAAAGAGCTTTCTTTTTCACGTTTTTCATTGTGTTCTACATTTTCTTCACGTTTAACACATTAAACAATATGACCTGAAATAATAATAATTATTTTTCACAGAATCGGTGAAACTGAGTTATTTTCAAGTTTAATCCTGTGATGATTATCATAATTTTTTTTTGTTTCATTTTCAATTAAGACAAAGTATGCTTTAAAAATAACCTGTACTTCTTAACAACAGATAACTTGGACATTGTTAATAAAAGATCTATTTTAAAGTTACTCGTTCTGCCCTCTTTGATTAAAAGTTATCAATTTTGTAAAGTACACCAGGATAATTTTTTTCTTTTATGTATTTTTTGGAGTGGATCCCCGTTTGATTGCATAGGGATGGTGGAATTTCAAAGATGAATTGATTCCAACAGAAACGAATAGAAAGGACCGCCTTTTCTCCTTTGCAATCTACAAACATACGAAGGAACAACTCCAGCATATTACGTCCGGGGAGAAACGGCTTGAACGTTCTCAATTTCGCGACTTGGGGAATTCTGAACCTTCAGTTTTGTTAAAGTTAAGCATTATCAATGCCACATAAAAAATCTCTCTCCAAAACGTTGAGTGAAAGTTAAGACAAGGAACTTGATTATTAATTTTTTTGTTGCATAAAAAGTCAAATATTGGTCTTTTTCATTTTTTTAACGGTAACAGATAATAATTAGTTATGTTGAGATCGACCTACAATTAATAATTGAGTTTAAGAGGATCGGAAGGAGGTCAACTGATACTAGGGCATCGGCTGACCTCCTTCCAATCCTCTTAAACTCAATAATACATAATATTTGAATTTCTTGTAGTGGAAGTAATATCAATGGTAGTTTGATCGTTTCCGATTGTTTTGTTCTGCTTTTTCTCGCTGGCCTATCAGAAGCGTTTCGACATTTCTCCATGTTTAGTTGTTGAAGGGTGTTGCCCCACCCATTGCGAAAAGGGGAAACGCGTCTGTCAGACCATACAGTTAGAATAGGTGGACCAAAACGGCTTTATAGGTTTTGAATCATCCTGTTCTAGGCATTTCTAAGGTTGTACCGTGTTGGCTCTTAGATCCAAGAGATTTTTGCTCTTGTTCAGAGCCATTTTTCGACAACCAGAAATAATCTATCAATTTAAGTAGGTTCTTCAAACTTAGGTGTTAACTTATTTACCTTAATTACCCCCTCTGAGAAATGATTGTGCTGAGCGCTGCTCATTGTGGAACTTTGGCGCGAGGGAGGGACCTTTTCCATTTTTTCGCTGAGTTCCGATTATTTCCCAGTTTCGGGTTCTTTTTTCGGGAACTGCTAGAGCTTTGAGAGCCTGTTTGATCGTAAAATTTAATTCCCAGGATTGT